TTTTTAGCTGTATGTTTTTATGAGCTGTGGTGGAGGAGCCCATTAAAGGACAGATTAACTCGATTGTTATGGTTCGAACTGTAAAGCTCCACACACAATCAGCAATGTCAGTCTTCTGCCATGTGTGATTAACCCTTTAAATGTGTTTTTGATTCTTGTACGCAAACATACACAAACGCACACATCTTACTGATGGCTAACAGGAGGGCGTCACCCACTCTGGACAAATCTGCCCTCCCCAGCAGCAGCTCCGTCACCTCCAGATGTTCGTTGGCTACAGCCAGCTGCAGTGCATTTTGGCCCATGTAGTCCACAGCGTTGACATTCAAGTTGGGCACATGGAGCAGCATACGTCGCACCTCTGGTATGTTGCCGTACTCAGCCGCCTCCAGGAAACGCTGCTCAACCTCTGACAGGCTGATTGAAGGAGCAGAGAACATGTAGGCAGGACCACGTAGAGCCTGGCGGCGTTTAGCAGCGGTGAGACGAGCCGTGAGCTGTCTCTCCGAGCTGCTGTGGCTGCCAGAGAGTCAGGGGACATAAACACACTGTACATACTGTCCACATGGTAACACACACATAAACTCTTTTGGAAACCACACCTCAGACACTTGTCCCCAGTTTCATCTCAGTTTCACATTTCACATTAATAGGATTTAATCATTCATCATTTAATCATTAATTCTATATATGTTGAGAGAAAACCCTTTGAATAGACATAAAAAAAATAATGTGATTTCTGACACAAAGAGAGAGAGCCACTGCAGTCAGACAAATCATTAGTCAAAATGAATGAAAGACTTTTAATAGTTGTAGTAGATACTAATTTAAATTTGAAACATTACTCTACACAAACTGCATCCTAAATTCCATTTAATGAACCATGTTTGGATAAAAAAGCTAAAAATAGACAACAGTAGAGATAAAATATACAAACCAAAGAGTAAATGGAAATGTTCTGTACACAAAAAAAAAACTTCTACTGGGCTGTAAATATGAAGGGAAACTACATCACTACTCATAATCTTCTAGTAATCCTAATGACATTATGGTGTTGGACCATTCACTGACAGAAACTATTTTATAGTTTAATTAATATCACGTTTTTCTTCTCTTTTATCATTTTACAAAGTTCCGCATCTTCAGAGATCAAACTATCAAAGCTGCTGTCTCTCATACTGTGAACCACACAGGACATAATCTGTATAAAACAATCCTTGTAAGATATGAGGGACTTCTAAAGGATACGGTGTAACATTAAAAATGTAATTTTCATCTCATCCATCTTATTTTTTCAAAGACTTAATTATTGTGGACACGTATGTTGAAAACAAGTTCGAAGATGACCGCACATCATCACAATCAAAATGATAAGTGACTACAATCACGCTGAGGTCATTGACGAGGATATTGTCTTACTTTATTGTTTTATGTTATGGATCTTTATATAAACTCCATGATAATCTGTCATGCTGCGTTGATGTAAATACTGTAAAAAGTTGTTTAAAGGTTATTAAAGTCAAATGATTAATGAATCTAACGAAACACATAAACACACCCGCCCACTACATGAGCACCTGGCTGAATAGGGGATGTAAATGAGAGACTTACCCGAGGCATCGTCCAGGGCAACAGTTTTCCTCTCCAAAATCATCATACATCAGCAGGTTATCACGGCTCCTGGCCCTCGGGCTGTTGTTGTAGCCCGCAGTCCGGCTGTTATGATGAGCCGCCAACGGTCTGTGGTTCATCCTGGAGGTGGTCAACAATAGAGGGTCTGCTCCTGCTTCATATGAACGAGTAATCAAGTGCCTGTGGCATGACTCCCTCTCTCTGTCTCCCTCCGCCTCTGTTTATTCTGTGTCCTTGAGAAAGAATGCATCCTTCTGGGTCCCACTGTACTTTTATTTACATGACTCATTGAACTTTACAGATGTGGAGGGTCACTCACTGAAGGTTACTGGTGGAATATGGCCGTTTTTGTCACAGTTGTTTCAGCTGAATCTACAGACTCTTCTGGATTTTCCTCTAGTGTCCTTAGAAATTACTCTCTGGATTAGTTTTGAGAATACAGACTACTTTGCAAAATTTAAGTTGATTTACAGCTACAGAATATTCTCAGAATATTGTGCTTTGCCAGTGGTTTTCATCCTTAGGCTGTAAAATTCTATTTTAAACTGCAGTGTTTAGACTACATGTTGAGGTTTGTCAGTGTGTGTGTGTGCGTGTCTGTGTGTTTATGTGTGTACATGTGTGCAGGAGTGACTGATGGCTGATGAACAGCAGATGAGATTCCTTAGGGTTTAAATTCCCAGTAGACTTTGTTTCCTGTGCGCTCCCACTCTCCACTGATCCTTGTCCACTGTGGGAAAACAACTTCCCACTGTGCGCACACACGCACACACACACACACAGTATGTGTCTACACACATTTAAGCAAGTTTATTTAAGCATGCAAACATGTGTTCCCTCTCCAGTAGGTCAAAGGTGAGTCCCGGCACCCAGTTTCTGTCGCTTGTATTGACAAGAACACACACATCTGATATTTTTAGCTTTTTTATCTGGAAGTACAGTAGGTCTTGCATCATTGTCGCCAGTTTCTGCTCAGTTCACCACATTTTATCTGCTTTCAGTATGAATTTCACAGAAAACACCCCTTACATCACACGGACATCTCAGCATAAAAAACTCTGTTAAAGCAGACTCTCTGATGTATGATTGTAGCAGTGAAAATTGCCTTTTAAGGGCCTGATTGCTGAAGCGTAGTCACTTTGTACTTTTCATGGTGTAACAGCGTCACATCTTACAGGGTGGATGGTCGGGGGAAAGAGGGTAAACTCTGACAAATGTCACCAGCAAGAGTTTTTGTTAAGACTTCCTCCTCAGAACAGAACAGACCTAAGATCTGGTGTAAACACTGTCAGCTAAAACATACACACTCTTATTGGGGGGCACTGAGTGGGCAAGCACCTGTGTGTGTGTGTGTGTGTGTGTGTGTGTGTGTGTGTGTGTGTGCGTGTTTTAACGCCACTGATTCTGGTGATAACACAGTAGGAGCTCTGGCTCTTTGTATGGTCTGCTATGTGCATATTGCCAATGAATCCACACACACACACACACACACACACACACACAAATACACACACTAAGCTGTGTGTGTACAAATGAGTATCCTGTTGGTGAAAACTGTAGCTTGATTTTCCCTCAATTGGTAATGTTGATATTTAACTTCACCATGACACACACGCCACAATTCTGTATTAAAGCCATGCAACAACTTTCAACTCTGTAGAGTCAGCTGACAATGTGCCTGTGTGTGTGTGTGTCTGTGTGTATGTGTGTGTGTGTATGTGTGTGTGTGTGTGTGTGTGTGTGTGTGTGTGTGTGTGTGTGTGTGTGTGTGTGTGTGTGTGTGTGTATGCGTCTGTGTGTATGTGTGTGTGTAGCTGACTTTCATAGTGGCAGGAAAAGTTGTTGAATGGACAGAGCTGCTGCCTCCCCCTGGAAGTGAAGAAATACTGCATCCAACGAGTCAACGCCTAAATTACAACTTTCTGGTGCTTTTGCTTCTGCTCTGTGTAAAGATAATGCAAGCGCATGTTCAGGTACTCACCCATTCCAAGTCATGGCAACCACAAGTATAATTTGCAATTAATCTTAGTACCAACAAGGCAACATTATTCTCACAAACTGCAGAGAAAATAACTCACCCACACGCATATTCATGCATATGTAGGTATCGTCTTCACACACACTTTTACCTGCTTTCTTCTTGACTATGTTGAGATGGATTCACAGCACCGCCTGCTGGAATGGGTTGGTAGTGGTGTTTTCACTCAACTCAGAACATCAGTTTCACCTGCTGCTGCCAGTCATATTGAAACTAACAGTACACATTTACACAGCTTATTATTAAGTCAGATTTACTACTTTTCACACTCTACGATCTGTGTAACAACAATATGGAATGTGTTCACACTTGAAAGAGTTTGTTCATCTTGATCTGTGTATATGTGAAACAGGACCCCTTCGTCCCAGGCACTTATCCGCTCAGGCTTGACCACCTGTCTTCCCTCTTCTGACAACAGCACAATATTTACTGTAATTGTATCTAGGAATACAAACTGTTTACATTCACCAGCTGCTGCTGTGGCTTTGATTAAAAAAAAAACTGATGACGCTTCCAGCTCTGCAGAGGACCGCTCATTATCAGCTAACACTGCGATATGGAAAGTTGACATTGAACGTCCATGAATATCCTCATCCTCAGGATAGATGCGATTATATGAACACATATGAACATTTTCGGCTACAACTTTTTGACGTGGTTTAAGGATAAGGATTCATGTAGGATTAACAACGTACAGGTTACCCGCTAACCCGTGACTCATAACACACTACTTGGCAACCCAAAAGTTGGTCTTATTAATGGCATATACCTGATCAATAATGCATTTGTGAATTATTTATTAACCATTAGCTACAAACATTCTATAAGTGAGTGAATAAAATGGTTCTTGTTTTCCTCTTCTTGAAGGAGCAGTGGAAAGAATGATGGAAAGTTTGGACATATATGAATCATAACTGCATGCAAAATCAGAAAAACAATAATAACAATAAGTATAAGTTAAAAAAAAACTTTTAAAACATCTCTACAATCAATTGAAAACTACGGCAAAAATCCTGCATTTAATAGTACACCACAATACTGTTTTATCCTGCGTTAGAGAAATGTTGTACAATGACTTTTGCGTTTATTTTTTTCTACATTTCTGATTATTCTGGTTTGTCGTTTTATTGTAATAGATTGCATTGTAATTTCAGGTATAAACATCCTCAAGAGTCAAAGTTACCTTGAAGGACTATAATCAGCACAGGCAATTGGTTACAATCATGTGAAACAATGAAAATGAGACTTTAACAAAACTTCTATGTTGTTTAATTAGAACTTCAGGTAGTACAAATATGCAGTGCAACTTACTTACTAAAGTACTGACTCTGTGCTCTAATTCTTTCTCTGTCAACTGTCAATTATTGGTTGCAATCCTCCTGATCTTTATCGAGACAGATTTGATGGTGTGAGGGACCCCGTTCTGTCTCCAGGTGTCCCACAGGATGTGAGTCCTCTGTCCCTGGTTCTGCTCTGCATTTTCAGGAGAGCCGTTGAGGTTTGCCAGACCGCACTGGTTGAACCACCATCCTGTCTGGTTGTGCTGAGTGCTGCAGCTCTCCACAGTGCGATTCTCGATGGAGCAGAAAGGATTGCAGCCGTCATTGTCCACATCTGAGGCGCTGAACGGAGCCGTGTCCTGGTTCTGCTCCTGGTCATAGCCACGAAATGCGTCACCTGCACAAAAAACATACAGAGAAATTCACATATGGATGGGATACATAATACACAGTGCATTTATCCCAATTTTGAGTTTGACTGTGTGGCAACAAAAAGCACATTTGTCTGAGGATGGTCACACCTGCGCTGCCTGCATATCGGCCCAGGTGTATACTGAAGAACTGGGTTTCACTGTCCAGGCGGAAATCATCATATGATGCATAAGAAGTGATTTCATCGTTGGAGACCAGAGCCACATGAAGTTGGAAGCGAGTATCTTTCTGGTTTACTATGTAAAACACCTTCTTTAGGCCCAACCAGTGTTCTCCTAAACACACACACACACACACACACATACACACACGAAAAGAGAGATTGCACCATTACTACAGTCACAGTCAAGTGCAAATTGTGAGAAATTATTCTCTTCCTTCATGTCTCTGTTAAGTATGAAGCTACAGAGAGCAGCTGGTTAGCCTAGCTTAGCATAATGAGTGGAAACAGGGGTAGCAGATAGCCTGATTTTGTTCAACAAGGAAGTCAAAGCGTTTGTTGAATAACATGTTAATTAGTGAGCTTTAGAGGTGCTAGTTGGCATATTTTACACAGAGCCAGGCCCCCTGTTTCCCATCAAGACATATCATCAAGAATGGCAACTGCATGCTTCTTTTTGTTCCATATGTTTCTGTTGTGCAAATGAAAAGTTAAGTTTGCACAAATTTTAAGCACAAAAGACAGAACGAGTCTCTCCTGTTCATATTTTTGGTTTTAAATTGTGAAATGTGCCTGTAAGACATGTTGCGTTGTATAGATATGTGAGGAGCTGCGTCATCATTTTTTTCTTTAATTTCCTTTAGTTGAGCAGCACACCTTGACGGAAGTTGATGCCTATTAATGAGCTTCTTATACTTCAAGCTCCTCAACTCAAGAGTTAAAGTTAAGGTTTAGGAAACGTGCGGCTTCTGTAGGTTCGTGGTGTTATAAGATATAAGCCGTCCAACCGTGCATGGTAAGGTTGAAGTGTTGTAGTTTAATAAACGACGAGTATGGAGTTTTTACCTCCTCCTTTTATCCACGCTCTCCAAACTGCGTCAAACCAAATACACGGACCCAAACTGTGACAATGTGTTTGCTTCATGAGCATCGCCAGTTCTACTTGATAGCCTTGATAGTAGTCTGCGGCAGCTTTGTTTCTTTATTATTTCGAAAATGATCCAGACTCGCTGACTATTTTCACAGCAGACAGTTTTACCTGTCAAAGCAGACAGGTGCACAGGTGATGCTAATGACGCTAATGAGGTCTCCAGTCCAATAACTGTAACAGTGCGTTTAATAATGTTATTAGTTACACCTGTGTTTCCAATAGTTTGGCAAAAGACTGAAATTCAAACATCTAACTGACATGAAACCTTATAAGGAGTTAACATGCAGATAATGAGAAATGTGATCCATTTTAAGCAATATGACAGATCAAAGCAAACACTGGTATATTCTGCTTTTGTCATTAACAGATAGAATCTCTCCATGAACTGTGACCTGAAAGCATCTAAGGAAGTGAAGTTGTGTTAAAAGTTGATGCTGTTGTTGCTAACACCTCACAGATACAGGAAACATGCATGCGCCTGTGGAACAGCAATGTACAACCTGCAAGGTTCCCAAATCCATCAGCATAATCAACCCAAGGTCGTTTGAAGTCAGTTAATCCATCTGTCCTCCTCTGCATCACCGTCCATCCACCTCCCATATAGTCCATCTCACAGAAAACCTGCAGGACAAGTTTTGTTTTGAGTAGCTGCTGATGAGTGAGGGACAGACTGAGTGCCTGAGTGAATTACATACCTCAAAGGAAGAGTCAGTATTCTCCGGGTGGACGATGTAAATACCACTGGGGATCTTGGGGACGACTGACACAAGACTGTCTTTTATGTCGCTGCAGTCTCGTCCTAATCAAAGCAAACATGCTCTCTTTTGTCATCAGGAATAAAATTAGCGAACACTAAAGCAGCTGCTGTTTCATAATCACTGATGACAAATGAACAACTCTGCATAACTCTGCAAGTCCAGTAAATAATCCCTCTGCAACAGTATTTCACTGGCAGGACAAGAAAGAAGAAATCAGTGTTTGTACTTTATATGCATGCAAATGGCTAAAAAACACAAAAACTCCTCAATTAACTTTATATATGCCTTTTAATTACTTATGTCACTGGATAATAAACATCAAATTTGTGGTGTATTGATTACTACAGGATATATTTCTTATTTTGTTCCGCATGATTAGCAGTGGTGGAAGAAAAACTCAAAGATTAAGTAAAAATCACATTATCACAGTGTTAAAAGATTCATGTATAAGTGCAGAATTATATCATAATAATAAAAGTAACTAGTAACTAAATCTATTAAGTAAATTTAATGGAATAAAAATGTATTGTAGTGTAGTGAATGTAGTGGAGTACATGTAACCTATAAAGCAGCAAAAAATGGAAAAACTCAAATTAAGTACAAATACATCAAAACTGCATTTAAGTTCTTTAGTAAATGTACTCAGTCACTTTCCACCACTGGTAAACTGATATTTGTGTGTAAAATTTGAAAATTCTGTCTCTCATCTTTCTGAATGTTGTATCAGCGGATGTGTCTGTGTCTGAGTTACCGTGGGACTGCACAGGTTTCACGGAGTACATCTCAGTGTTGCTTCTTTGGACCTCAGAGCTAAGCGTCTGCACTTTGGTCATCAGCTCTGTGACCTGGAAATGTGACACTACTGTATATACAGCCAGCCAATCAGATATTTAGAAAAATTCTGTCACTATCTGAGAAAAAAGAAAAACTTCACTTTACCTGGGTGCTGAGGATGTCCAGGGCTCTCTGCTGCTCCTCCATCACATCCCTCATCAGCTTCCGGGTGCTGCGTCCAAACGCCAACAGAGACTGCTGTAATTGGCCTACACACATACACGCATGCATGCACGCGCACACACACACACACACACACACACACACACACACACACACACACACACACACACACATTGGACTATAGATGATGATGATAGAGGTAACAACAACACCAGGAAAGAGAAAGACATTTTACCACAGACTGAATGTTTCTCATCTCGTAGCAGCTTGACGGTGATGTCACATGGGATGGAGCATGTGTCCCGACCTTTGACCCCTCCGAGAAGTTTCTGGCCTTTGCCAGGAGCGTCAGACAAGTCCTCACTGTCTATTTCTGATTGGTTAAAATTAGTGCCGTTTCCTGTGTCCTGGGAATAAAGAGAGAACGACAGTAGAAATTTGATCCACTGTCAGCAAGTATAAATCTACAATCATATCGTGTTATTTAACAAGCCTGGGATGTGTGACTTCAGCCACTTAGAGGATTACAGATTGAATAATTTAAATGTTTTGTTTGGACAGTGTCTATTTCATTTAAAGACCTTTCTCATGGCAGACAGTTTGATTTGTAACCACTGCATTTATCTGACAGCAGTTACTTTCCAAATTAAGATTTTTGCATAAAAAATATATGAAGGACCAATGAAATACACATTTTGTTATAGTTTAAACTACCAAACAGTAAATACAGGGACAGTGGAAAAGATTAGGCAAGTTAATTTTTAAAAAATGAATTTAAAAAATTATTTTATTTATGGTTCAAACATTTTATGGTTCCAGTCTCTCAAACGTGAAGATTTGCTGCTTTTTCTATTAATTGTTTGCAAGTTTGGACTGATAGTAAGACAAGTCTCTTAATATTTACTCCACCAAAGGTCCCAGTGAGTCAGCATGCACTTTACCAGGAGCCTGGAACTGGCTCCCCTAAATGGAATACAGTCATTGTAACACTAACAATTACATGTGTGATTTTCCCGATGACATGCCAAAATAAAATGTCTGCCATGAAGATGTTCAGCTTTGTTACACTGTTGAAAAAGAACAGACAAGTGGGAAGGGCAGTCTGGATGATATTCAGCAGCACTTTGAATGGAGGATTGTTGCTCGAGTCCCTGAGTCAGCAAACAGGACACTCTGCTGAAGTGCTGAGGAAAACACAGAGTCCTGAGCAGCTTCTGTATCAGATTCTGACCTTGCAACTGAGGAGGGATGAATGGAATAACGAAATTTTCATCTGGGGATCAATAAAGTTTCAGGACAAATATCATGGTGACTGATTTGGCAACAAACACACACACACACACACACACACACACACACACACAGTGTACCTGCAATATCCTGCGATTAAATCCTGCAAAATCATTTGGAACCAGCGGTGGAATGATACCAAGTGCATTTACTCAATACAGTTCTGTCCTTCTTGAAATTCACTTGATTATATCCATTTAATACTACTTTATACTTATACTACATTTAAACAGGAAGTATTGTACTTTTTTTACAGGTTGGGACTCATGACAAGCTTCTAAAATGTGATCAGTTCAGACATTTTAGTCTGGAATTAAGTCCTTCAAGTTTTATATACTTGTAAAATAAAATCTGCCAGCGTAGTAGGAATATAATGACTTCTTTTTTCAATGCAAAACATCTTGGTACATTCTCTAAAATCAGCGTTTTCACAATAGTTTGATGTATTGTTACGATACTGCAGAAAAAGGATTTTAGACTCGATTATTGATAGAAATGCCTCTATAAAACTGAGAGTTTGGAGATCAAACGCACAACAGTAAGTAATTAAAATCAGTTCCACCTTGACCAACCACAATGAAAATGTTCACACATTAATTGATCACTATTAACAATGGTATAAAATATATTATACTACACACACACACATATACACACACACATACATACACACACACACACACACATACACACACACACACATACACACACACACACACACGCACACACACACTGACACACACACACACAAACACACACACACACACACACACACACTCACACACAAATTCATGATGCCTAAGTCTGAGCCCCTAAATCTCTGTGATTGCATCAGAATCTCTGGAAGAAATGTATAGTAAAGTTTAAAAAATGACACATTGCCACTCCCATAATTCCTGATAGAAGTTTAAGGGTCGAGGCAGATGGCTGACTAAAACTGACAACATGTATGACATGCATATCGTACATACTGTGGAGGAAAGCAGATGAGGCAAAAGCAGCAGGAGGACAGCTGTTGTCCACATCATGCCAGTCTCGTCTGACTGTGATTATTTCCTCTAGGAGCGAGGGGGCTGAGCTCTGTCCACTCCGTCACCAGCAGCCACTCCTTCATTTATGCTTATATTTCCACAGACTCTGCTCTTTTCCCTTCACAGATCCATCCTTCTTTCCCTTTCATCCACCAAGTCTTTTCTGCGTCTCCTCCTTCCTCTCACTTGTCACACTTCCCTTTCTCCCTATACCTCCTCCCTCACTGCCTCCCTGTCTCCACCTCCATCAGTTACTCCCACTTTTTCTTGTAAATTCCCATGACAACATCCCATGTGAGAGGAGGTCAGATTTGTAAATGGGCTGGTGATAAAAGTCTGGGTATTTTTCTGACAAGTAGCTGAATGTGCTGATTCCAGATTTGTGGTAAAGAGTGACTACCTTCCCCCCTCGGTGTGTCTATTACCAGGCATTGTTGGTTTACAGGTTATATCCTGCCACCAGCATGAGAAACAGATGTGGAGAGGGAAATGAGCAGCTTGTTTCAATGTAGCAACACGTTTTCTCTGCTTGTGTCTTTGCGTGGGAGCTGCAGCTGAAGGTAGGGTGTCTCTGCCACTTCGGCTCATATTTCCTCCCCGTTACACCCCTCTTCACTCTCTCTGACCACTGACTCGTACATCTGAAAACAGCCTCCTAGAGGGTCAGACCAATTACTTTAGTTAACTGGGCAGTTAAGTAGTGAGGAAAGTGAAAAGCGATGGAGAGCAACAGCGCATTCCAGTCAGGGTCCAGCTGGAGGCCTGTCGCTTCTTTAGAAAACTTTACTATGAGTGCCAAAGAAAAGATTTGCTGTTGTTTTGAACCTGTGTGAGTTTACAGCCGTGGTCAGTGAGAGGAATGTGAAAAGCCTGGTGCCGAAAGCCTTGGGGCCCCCACATCTGTCCTATGTTACATGCTCTAGTAAAGCAGTCTATGCATGCGAATGACACACTATATCTGCCAGGCCAGATAATGAGAATATTCAAACAAGACTGTGTGATTTGTAAAGGTATGAAACATTAAAAACAAAACACACAAGTTTTAGGACTTCAAAAAAAGGTGAGTTTAAAAAATGAGAGAAGGCAAAGCAACATTAACTAAATTGGGCCCTCAAAGAGATCAGTGAAACAGAACTAAACTCAAGATACAGCGAACTGAACTGCGTTACCTAACTGGCCTCCATTAAAATGACCTAATGACACATGAGGGGGACATACTGTATATATATTAGCAGCTTTAAGGTAACTTAAGTGTTGACAGTACAAAATTAAATAAATGTGCTTGAGTCATGTAGAAATGCTGCTAGTAAACCTAAATATAACGTCAAACCATGTCGGTTGTTTAAAGGACCAGTGTGTAGGAATTACCGTCATGTAACCGTGAGGTTGGGGATTGAAAGCAACAGAATACCCCTCCCCTCATCCCGCCTTTTCCATGGTCATCAGGTAACGTAAAAACGCGAAAGGCATTCTCTAGAGCCGGTGTTTAGTTTGTCCGTTCCCTATGTAGATATAAAGGACTTACTCTAAGCTAACAAAAACACCATGATTCTTAATATTATATTACATTTCTGCCAGTGGACCCCCATAAATCCTACACACTGGTCATTTAATAATATGAAAGCTGCCTTTCATAACTGAACATAAACCTAAATTAGGGAAAGTGGGATGACATCATCATTCAGTATTATTGTATTAATCTTGACAGAACTCTCTCCAATAAACCCCACAGCTCAGCCCTGACCACATGTGACAATGAAATGATTTGTCTGAATAAATGAAACCACTTCATTCTAGCTGCTTTGTTTGTTGTGTGAATAGGCACCTGAAAAGCCACCTGTGATGGTTAAGCCCCTCTGATCTGGCAGAGAAACGGCAGTGATAAAAAAAAAAAAAAAACAAAAAAAAAAACAGTGTGGAAATGATTTTGTTCAGGAAAACAGCAGAAGAAAGAAAGTTTAACCCTGCTGCAGAGGTAATAATCAAAAGACCACAGACACCATTAAATCTACTCTATCATACACTTTGTTCCTCCACTGCTGCGCGTTTGTTTTTGCACTTTGAGAATTAATGTGACAGTAATGTCAAAACAACACGTTACAGGTGTTAAGGAAGGACAGTGCCATCTAATGGCGACTGGTTTGTATTACATTACATTTAATTCTTGTGTTGACCTTTAGTCAGTCGCCATGGTGCATAAAAAATATGTGTAAAAATTTTGTATGTATGTGGCATCAGAAAGGTTAAACAGACTTCTCTTTAAAAACATAACATAATAGTGACAGTTGACATGTAAGAAACTGTATTATTGCCAGTCCAAATGAGAAAATATTATATCTTTAATGTCATACAGATTTATCAGAATCAAATGATAATTTCAGCACAAATAATACATATTATCACAGTGATGATAACATAAGTCAGCTGGTATATAACACTCCCCAAACATTTATTCAGCTATATTCTACACCTGCAAATAACAAGGTTGCTGATCTCCAAGGAGGTGTAGTAAGTGTATCATGTTTTTGAATCACATTATTTTCCTCTTATAAGGTAAATAAATTAGAATCTGAATGAACAGTGATGCTAATCAGGGGCAGAAATAGACACATACACTAAATGAAAAGTTATGAGAAATGAAAGGCTCAAGTAACCACACATGACACACACACACGTGCTGTAAACTGTCTATTTCTCACAAAAGAGTAAGTGATCACTGTACGCTATGAAATGGTACAATATAAGGGACCTTGGAGGATAAGTGTGAACAGATAATCATGAGAACTCCCAAGGCTGAATATGTTATGCTTCACATAACATGGTAGATGTGTACAGTATGAGAGTTACAGGTGTACAGTTGAAGGCAGCAATACGTGTGGTAATAAAATGTATGTTTTTTTGAGGATTATTGTTTGGAAGAAGCTGGTGAGGCGTCTGATGGATCTAAGTGGTTTCAGAGTGAGCAGGGCTGCTGAAAATCTCTGCTGCCCTTTTCTTCACCCCCAGTTTATGCAACTCCTTTCACGGATGCAAATAGGAATTGCACTTTATCAGTCACACTCCAGTATGTGGTGTAGAAACATCAGAGACAGTGGAGAGGAAACTGAGGAAAATGCAAAACCAAAGAGCAAAGACTTGCAACTGCACCATACAAATCTTTTCTGACCACCACAGTCATCACAGTTTTAGAAACCATTTCTTGAACCGCCTCAGTGTTAAACGACCTACCTACTTTTATATTGTGTTCTCATCTTCTTTTTGTTGGTGAAGAGGAGAAAGGGAACTTTCTTTCTTGGACTAGGCATGCCCAATTCATTTTGACTGTAAAAGGAAACTATGCATGAAAACCTTTCATTCATTCATTTCTGTGTGCACACAGCCCCAGAAAGTTGTGTTAATTATAACACTTGGCAAATGGAGAAATAATTGTAGAGTGAAGTAATGGAATCTGCATAAAACTCATAGAAATAATCCCTCTTTGAACTCCTTTATATTCAGTCTTCCCCTTTTATTTGCCCTTACTTTAAAGCATTTAATGTAAGTATTTCCTATAACTTTAAATACATTACTAAATAAGCAAAAATCAGAGTTAAAAACATTTCTATATATTATTTAGGAGGGGTTTAAGACAGTCAATCTGCCTCATAAAGATTGTTTGTGTGTGGTTTGGTCAGATTTGATTGAAAGTGAACGTATATTCTGAATCAACAATATATCTAAATCCTGATTGGCCCAGAGAAGTATACGTTATTATAAGATATCAATAAGAAGATATCAATAAGAAGAGCTATAACTACAGAACTCTCTCATGTGAAATAACCAAAACTATTCAAACTCTGGCAGAAAACACTGTGTTCATGTCTGACTAGTTCACTCATATTAAGAAGCTGAATGAGAAAATATATGATCAGGGTCTTTAAGTTTGTTAAAATCATACATATCATATATTCTGTATCAGCTTATTTCAACACTGTTTGAAGCTTCATGCTGTTTACAGGGTGTAATATTTAAATGTTTATTTACAACCTTTCATTTAAATGGAAATAATATGGATTCATTAAGCATCATTTCATACAGATTTTTCCAAATTGCAGTCTGTGACATATTTGGTATCTTTGGAACTGTAGGGATTTCCACTGGAAGTTAAAATAAAGTTCTGTGGGTTTGAATCACGTTTGGCTGCACAGCATGAGTTTAAAATTATGCACAATGGCAGTCTGCTACTTGTAAAGCGGTTTTTAACTTGTTTATCCATGTTTGTTTGTGAATTCGTGTCTATTTCCCTCTTAAAATGACAAATTCCATCACCATCCACCATTAAATATCCATAATTCATTTTTTACAATCATTTGTAAGAGTTTCCATGTCCGGTATGGTTTGTATTATTTCTGGTGACTTATAATGATGAAATAATTGAATGAGTTATTGGATGCACAGTAATAGCACCAGTCCAACCAGACATTTTTCTTGAATTCAGTTTGTTGGCCAGCTGAGCTCCAGCTCATTGTGTGCATGTTTTCCACTAGAGGGCAGGACACTGTGGCTGTTGCTTGCACGGACAAACAGGCTCCGGCTGGGTTGGCCTCATCAGGGGCGGATGTTTTCCCAATGCAACTTCCCAACCCCCCCACCCCCCCACCCCCCTCCAAAACCTGGCCAGACCCAGGCCCAGATTCAGGGGAATGTCTCCGGCTCATTTCTCCGCTTCAATATATCTCCTGTGGTTGTCTTTTGTCACCTCTGTCTACACTTCGCCCTCTGCTTCTTTTCCTACAGCAGCATAAAAACCGCAAAAACTGGAAACAGCACAGAGGAGAACTAAAGAACAACCCAATATGTGTAGTTGACTATAATATCTTTCATTTCCGTTTACATTCTCGTGGCTGGAGATGACTTGTTTGAACCGTTTGAAGCTGTGAATAAAACTTTAATAAACGACTTGTTTTCTGAGTCTTGTGTTGGAGTGAAACATTTCCCCTGCAACTGCGGCAGCTTTAAACCCCGCAGCCCCGCCCCTCAGCACTATCACATGAATCTGGACTCAACAGTGGATGTGAAAAAAGTTTGGAGGTCTCGCTGAAATAACTTTTCTCCAACTAGTTTCATACACATATATGTATTTTTTCCACTGTAGGAGGCTTTTAGTTTAAAGTCTGCCTCGGAAATCAGTGTTCGCCTGCGTGTTTTCCCCGGCTGTGATTTCTCCAGCTCACTTTTTTTTTCCTGCAGGAATACAGAGAGAGACAGAGAGGGGGAAAACGGTCTGGCTGCTTGAAGGTATGTGGGAGGCATGTAACGTGTTGCACACTACTGAGATTGATTTTCGTCATCGATGCCTGCTCTAAACTACTCTCCTTCGACTTGTCTACCCGCTGATTGTTTTTCTCTTCACAGCTGATTAACTTCCGATATGTTACAGCTTGAAATAGACAACGACACAGCAGTTCAAATGGGGTGGGTGGGTGGCGGAGGAGGGGGGTTGGAGGGCAAAGAGTGTAAACAAATCCGATCATAACTCCAGCACTCACACGCATCTAATCTTAACGGGCCACTGGCGTCTCTTCTCTCGGTTGTTTATTTGTTTGTTTGTGTGATTGAACTTTTCGACAGATTTTGTTTCGACACCGAACTTTTGGCGACATGGACGCGCACCGCGGCGCGCCTCCGGCCGGGCAGCAGATCGTGCACGTCCGCGGGGACTCGCAGACGGAGCTGGAGGCCCTCTTCAGTGCGGTGATGAACCCCAGCAAGGCGACCAGACAGCCGGCCTCTCTGCCCATGAGGATGAGGAAACTGCCGGACTCCTTCTTCAGGCAGCCGGACCCCCGCGGCCACTCCAGACAAGTACTAACAACAGCTAGTAACTACACCACATTCATGACAAACTACAGCCCTGCAGTTCACACAACAGTGATCACAATAATACAGTTAAAACAAAGCAATCCAAACCTGATTGTTAGTGTCAGTAGTTAGTGATAGTGTTGTATTAGACTGCAAATGTATGGAAAGGTGTTTGTCCCTAATATTTTGTCCACCCCCATTCTCATACATGAGAGACAAAATATTAGAAACACCCAGTCCAATGAAACAATTAGTAAACTGATGAGCAGTTCTGATTAGGGCTGAACTGAATAATTGTTTTCATTGTTGATAAATCAGTCCATTATTTTCTTAGTTAATCGATTATTTGTTTGGTCTATAAAATGTCAGAAACAGTGACACAGTAGTACCCATTGCTGTTTCCCAGAACCCAAGGTGATGTATTTACATTATGATTTATTGTTCACACAACACTCTGAAAAAACTAAAGACACTCAATTTACTATAATGTATGATAATGACGAGCACGGACCCCAATAACGTTTTGGTAAAAACAACAGTAAAAAAAACAATTACTTGATTATCGAAGTAGCTGTCAATTCGCTTTTCTGTCAATCCACTCAAATATTCACAGCTATAGTTTGGATAATTGATTGATTTGTTAAGTCATGCCAAAAATTTGCTGCCTTCCTTTATGAATATCTCTAGGTTTTGGAGTCCTGGTCAGACAAGACATTTGAAGGGCACCTTGGGCTTTAATACTTCCTATTAAGGTGTATGAATTCAACACTATTGGATCCCACTCTTTGGAGATTATAATTACGATTAAGGATAAAATTGGATATTATAGATGAGATGTTTAAGCCACAGTGAGAAATATTTTGGGCTGATCTTCTAGCGATTAGAAAGTAGTCACAGAGTTTCACCAGCACTCAAACCGGCATCACTTCACTTCCATGTTCAATATTGTTTTTGTTTTTTTTAATGACCTGAAAACACACCTTGAAAGTATCTCTTAGATTTGTAGCTGTGGCTCAAATATTGAAATTCGCTGAACTCAAATGTTCACTAAAGGATTTTTGGATAACTTTGCCAGTAATATTAAACTACCAGCAAAGCAAGCTCCTTGGCAGAAGTGATAAAACCATCTTGTAAAGTAAAGCAACCAGACATGTGAAGGACCAGTTTCCCAAAGTGTTTGTCTTTCCACCTTTCCTCACTCTGGTATCCATCCAAACCTTTTCTTCCTGCTGGTTTAAATTTCTGATTTGTTGTTTGTGGCTCGTCATGGCAGTTGTCAACCTACTTGTTTCTCGTCAGGCCAGTTCGGATGGAGGCGTGTGCGGCTCCCTCACTCCTCATCACGTCCGCGCCCATTCCTCCCCTGCCTCCCTCCCAGTCAACTCCCTCTCCACTCAAGCAACAGATGTAGCAGCGCCACAGATCATACCTGACGACGTGCCACTCCCCCACGGTTGGGAAATGGCCAAAACGCCTGCTGGCCAACGATACTTCCTGAAGTAAGAGGTCTATCTTCTGTTTATCACTGTGTTTCATCTGCTGCTCTGCAGGTTACTTGAAGGCTTTTCTGTGTAGAAAGACCCAGAGACTAAGCCCCACCTTGTCCTAACATCTACATTTTTGCATTATCTATTGTTTTATAAAATGGAAGAAAATAGTAAAAAGCACCCTTCACAATTTCCCAAAAGCCCAAATGAGTCTTGTTTTGTTTGATTGTCTGTCCAAAAATCAAAGAGGTTCAGTTTAGAATCATTTATAGCAGAGAAAAGCTGCCATTCCTCCCATTTAAGAAGCTGGAACCAGCTAAATTTCTACATAAATTACTTAAAAGATTAAGATTAAACAATCAAAATGGGTGTTGATTAATTTTATCTAGATCATTAAAGCACAAGGAAGAGAGACATGGGGAGAGACATACGACTGTGCAGATATAACCAGGACTTAAACTCGATCTGTTGCATTCAAACAGAAAACGCTCTGACTAGTTTTGCAACCAGTGTGGTTTCAGCCGGTTTCATTCTCAGGAGCACATGGCCTGACAGCTCACACTCCTGTCAAAGGCAACCGTAGTTTACAACACAGCACAAGCCTGTGACATTGATCTGTGTGAGTGTATATGTGAAGGCGCACATCTGGTAGTACAGGTAAAGCAGGTCCGGGGCAAAACGTAGCCTACCTCACGCTTCTCATCCGTCAGGTTACAGTGGTTTAACAGATACAGATACGTTTAGACCTGTTGTGTGTTTGCAGTCACCTGGATAAGACAACCACTTGGCACGACCCTCGTCTCTCGCAGCTGCAGTCGGCTGCAGCTCAGCATCCTATCTCTGGCACTCCGGTCCATGCCCACTCCCTCAGCAACCCAGCACCCACTACGCAACCACAAAACATCAACCCAGAGACAGGTATCACACTGCTCCCCACCCCTTAACACTCCCCCTCCCCTCCCCCTCCCCTTCTCACCCTCTAGTTTCTCTTTAAAGCACAGACCTGCTTTTTCATAGTTCAACTCCATCTCCAGCGGGCCAGGTCTTTGCTGGGTGTGATTTCTTCGGGATTCCCTTTTGGTGTCTACATCCATGGTTTTCTGTGACTTTGCTGGGAACAATCATGTTCATAGATTTAAAACCCAGGGTGAACTTTAATGACATCAGCATCAAGATGGACTCTCAGGTTCGATAGTGAGAGCATTCCACTAAAGCGAGAGAAATCTTAATTCTCCGAAAAACAGTGGTGAAAGTCAAACTCAAGCAGTTTATTCATATAGGTGTTTTTATTAGTTAGATGCAAGTTTTATAGCTTGCTAGATCATGGTTGTCTTTGAATATATTCCACTCATTTCAAATTTTTCTAGGGTCGGTTCACCCAAATTACAAAAAAACAAACAAAAAGGAAACAAAGGTCCCTGGCCAGACTTGAACCTAAAAGATTTTTCAAGTCAGTGCCCATACGAACATTGAGATGGATTTTGCTCTCTGTAATCATTGTGTTCATGTTCTTACTGGACGTTATTACTGTAGATCCCCAGGTTATACATATGCAAATGAAGGGGATATCTACCACAGTTAAAATTGCTTTTAGCACTTACTTTTGTTACTATCCCTCCACTGGAACTCAACTAGGACACACTGTTCAGGGAAGCACAAAGAGGGGATTTTATAGTAAAATTGTAACTTTGGAAACTATCCACTGAAGACTTCTGAAGCGTCACATTAACTTCAGATAAACACTTGAATGCATTTTTGCGCAGGACAAGTACCATTAATTCTGTTTCCCATCACTTATACCGAATACATTAGAAAGGAATCTCTTTATGTCCAGCATGAAGGGGTGGGGGGTGGGGGGTTAATTTGTGGTTTCATGAGATTGGAAACAATGAAATGTCATTAAAGCAGCTAAATTTGATTTTTTTTTTTTTTTTTCTTTTGGTAACGAAGGATCAAATAAGTACTTCTGTGTGGAAGATGAACCCACAGAAAGTTATCATCTGACTTTCTACAGACCATTGTAGCATCTCTCAGCTCATTGTTTTGGTTCTCAAGGGCGCAACTATACTATTTTGGTTCACTCTCAACACTCTTATCAGCCTTGTTTTTGGCTGCAGTAGGAAACTCTAAAAACCTGCCGAACACTACCTGCTCAGCACCACCAGCAACAGCTGAGAAACACAGTTAGATACTAGCTGGTGAACACAGTGGAGCGTTTGGCAGCTAAAGAGCCGCGTATCTCCCTCAGCAGTAGGTAGAGACCAAAAACAGAGCCCAAAACCCTCGGCCATGTGGCCACAAACTCGGCTCCAAGTTAATGATAATGTTAATCCAAATCCTCTGAAAGTGTAAATAGGCAACAGATTCACTTTAACAACTTTATAGGGTATGTCGGCGTTGTTTCCAGCTTATTTTCTACTGCCCCCAAGTGGTCAAAATATCAATCAATGCAGGTTTAAATAAAGAAGAAGAATAAGAAGCAAAGCATTTACCAGTATATCCATAATAACTGGGGCAGTGTGTCCTTAAAGAGGAGCTGCTGTTGAGTTTAAATGTTGTAATTTGGCTGAACAGACCCTTTAAGAATAGAACACTTTGATTCCCCTATTTTATTTTATTTTATTTATTAGTATGGATAATACTGCATACCTATTTACAAAATCTCCCATCCACTGCATCCAGGCCAGATTTTAGAGCATTTTTACTCTACAGAACATACTTTAGCTGTTTTCCCACTAACCTTCACTTCTATTCTAAAATCTCTACAAACTAGAAGTTGCACAGACATTAAAGGACGTGGGCCAAATTCTACTTTTTACTCTCAGCACTCCATGCACTCCATCCACATCACTCACTGTGTACTTTCACTGCTGTTCAGGTCCACTGCCTGAAGGCTGGGAGCAGGCTGTGACTGCAGATGGAGAGGTGTACTACATCGATCACATAAATAAGACCACCACATGGGTCGCCCCGCGTCTAGGTAGCACACTATCAAATTTGTGTCTCCTGAATTGACAATTCTTGTTTGTCAATGAGAAACATTTTGTTCCAATGTCCACCATCACAAGTTGCTGTTCAGCAACAAAAATAAGAAAGATCGCAAAAGTTTTGACAATTTTTGCTCATATATGTTATTACTGAAATGTTTTAACTCTTGGAAATATTTGCTTAATTGTCAAAAAGGTCTTTTTTCTATGAATTTTATGTTTCCAGCACAGAAGATGAACCCGGGCATCCTTGGTTTGGCATTGCAGCAAAGGCAGGAAAAAGAAAGGCTCAGATGCAAAGGCCTCCCTCCCCAAATCACACCACAGGTCAGAGGTCAAATAAAATTGTAGTTGGATGTACCGTAACCCACAAACTCTATCGTTTCATTTGGAATCACACTAATACCTGCACAAGCTGTTTTACAGTTACGTGATTCCCTGTGTCATTTGGTTGTATTATGCTATATATTCAGTTCAGACTCAACAGTAATGAAAATGTTGTTTCATTCAACACAGTTTGAGTTTTAGATGACAGTGTGTGTGTGTGTGTGTGTGTGTGTGTTGTAGGAGGCAGGAGGAAGAAACCAGATGACCGGTGGGATGGACCATGACAGGAACGCACCGACGCTTGTCCCGTCTCTGGATGTCAGGATCAGATCCTCCAACCACGAACCTACACTTAATGGGTGAACACATGTTTAATATTATCGCATGTAGCTACTGTGACTGTAGTTTTAAATGGTAGACAGTTGTTGTCATTAAGTGACAGAAGTGTAAAAGATATTCATAAACTTTATTGCAGTAAAAGCATCAACAAAGTGTAGAAATAATTCACTTTTTCAACATCTGCTGCTGCCTCCATACATTGGGGATAAGTGGAATTCCATTCATGCAGCTCAAAGCTTTGAAAAATGACATTTCAAAGACTCAACAGAAGCGTGTCTTTCCAGGAACAATGTCCCAGTTACTCTGGATAACCTATTAATTTCGCTGGCAGCAATTTGCATGAAAAATAAATCTGTTAGTTTCAATGAAAATATTTGCATAGTTCCAGGAAAAAGTATTGTATATATTATTTTGTTAAAAAGGGATGATGATCAGGAATTAAGGAATATTTTTGTGCGTGTGTTCTTGTGCAGCGCTCACTCTCGCAATGAGAGCACCGACAGTGGTCTGAGTGTCAGCAGCTTACCCCGCACGTCGGACCACATGTTGAGCTCTGTGGATCACATGGACACTGGTAATACACACACACACATACACACACACACACACACACACACACACACACACAACCATCCAAAAACAAAGTCATGAAATATAGACCTGTGGTTTCTGAAGTGGAAAAGCAGGTTTGATTTTTTTTTTTTCAAAATCATCCCTCCAAACTAAATATTATGTGTATTTTACTGAAACCAAAGTAATGAAGAATACAGTGTTCCGATTTGGCATCTAATGATCTAAATCTATGCTGCAACCAATGGGAAGCAGTTTATTTTGGGTGCAGTTTATAATGTGCCGCAAGTTTAGCCAGTGATAGCCATTATACTGGCTTATTTAGTTGTAATACCTGAAATGATCTACTTTAGAGCTAAAAACGATGGTAATTATGGAAATTAGTTGTAAACTCTGACTTTTGCACTGGCCTCTCACTAATTATTAATATAACTCATAGGGAAACAAATAATTTCATCTTTCTAATGGCATAAAGAACACAGAAAAACACTTGGCCTGGCAGCTATACTGGACTGCACCAAGTTTCAAGTAGCATCCTAATGATGCCTTGATAATTCCTGTTTATTTATTTTCTATTTATTCATCTGTATTTGTGCGCATATTTATCTAATTACATTTTTTGTGTGTGTTCAGTAGCACTGTATTGATTTATTTTTACATATTGAACAGATGAGAGAGATAGAAAAACATAAATTGTGCATTTATTTATGCACATACACAACTTCCTGCAGGGAAAAAACACAGCACCTGCCCTTGATTCAGCTGCTGCTCAATTGAAAAGTCTGTCCTTTATTTTGTTTAAAAATAAAAAAAAATAAAAAAAACTCCCAACAGCCCAACTAAATTTCCAAATTTTGCTCAGCTCACTGTTGATATTTAGATTCTCAACACAGTTCAGTCATTTTATCTTTTCTGACTTCTGTAGGTGACTCTGGCGACAACTCCTCGATGACCTTACAGGAGTCGATGCCTGTGCTCCCGATGTCTGAGGGCGAGGAGCTAATGCCCTGCATCCCCGAGGGTCTCAGTTCGGACCTTCTGATGGACATGGAGACGGTTCTCTCTGGGTCGCATATGGACAGAGACAGCCTGCTCACCTGGCTATAGACACACCCAGCCACCGCCTAAATATGGTTTGACATCAGATCTTCATGACGTGACTGAGAATTTTGGAGGATTTTTTTCTTTTTTCTTTTTTCTTTTTTTTTGCTTCAAAAGTGGTACCGAACATCATTACTGAGAGAATACGCTACTGTTGAGTGATGGATACCTAACACTACTCACACCCTGAGGAATATATAAAAACCTGACTCTCACAGAAGGTGGTAAGCTGCTGATATTCTCCTCCTTTTGGGCCTGGTCTTACAGAGATGCATTGATGGTCTGATCTGTATTTTTATGACACATTCATTTTTAGTCATCAACCTCAGATGATGCTCCCCACGTCTCTGGTAAAGTACGTCAGAGTTAATTTTAGAGTACAGATTGTTTTTTTTGCTATCCCCACTTGGGTAATACTGTTTGCAGCAATCTTTTAAAAACACAGAGCCAAGTCATAATAGTCTACATGTAACAGTTAAAGAAACACAAAGAAGACATGTTAAAATAAACTAAAAGATGCACAAAACATATTGAACTGTAACAAAATAATATCATATCCACATTTATCTCTGTTACTTCATGTAGCCTCTGGGACAAAATGGCAACATCTACAGTAGTTCTACTACCTCTGAGCAGCCTGTAATTTTTCATTTTAACGCACATGCTCACAGTTGTCCAAAGCATGCTCTGAAGAAGCATCGGCACTGCCAGAAAGAGATGACTCAAAGAATTTATATCGATTAACGCTACATTGGTTCAGTAAAACCAAAATTCATGCTACTTTTGCAACACAGAAACATCAGGGAGAGGAGGAGGCACCCTTTTGGTGAGTCAGTAGAAGATGAAGCAAACTCCCATTTACTTTCAAACTTTAGAAATGGTCAGTTAAAATGCTCACAAACCAAAAAATACAGAACAAAAACTTTAATCAGAGTAACTTGTAAGTTTGTGTTGAAGAGTGTCGGGCTGCTCTGAACATGGATTGGATCTTGCAAGGTTTTTCAAAATAAAATTCATGAGGATAAGCTTTATCTTTAGTCACAGTAAAAAAAAAAAACCCTCTTCCTCATTCCTAACAAATCAAAGCCTGTCAAAACCACTTAGAGAGAAATAAAGGCCCCTGTGCGGAGGAATCTTAACTTGAGCTAACAGTAAAATGTGTTTGTAGGGCCTCTCTTGACAGTAAGGACCACTGGAATATATGGAGAATGTCTACAGTAAATGAACATATGGTCAGTATAATGCAATCCAACACAATGCAGTGTTTTCCTCAGGATACAGTAATCCTGACACATCCAGTCTTGTGATCAATTTAGTCAGTAGATGACGGCTTAAACGGTATTCACACTCTTTAGATACTTTATATGGCGTTTGCTGTGTGAAATAGCACCTCTGCTCTTTTTACCTTGAACTTACAGTTTTATTATATAAAAGTGGGTTCAAAGTCGCCCACGCCCGCTCTCAAACACGGCAGGAAATCCTGCAACAGCCTTGCTATAAAATCACCTATTTTGAAGTTACTAATATTCAGGGTTTGTTAATGCTGTGTTTTTAGTGTTTTTAGTTGTATTGGATTGCATTTTATTGTAAAGTGGTCCAGTCATTTTGTCTACTCCAGCATTGAATATAAGCTTCACAAAGGTAGTATTTATTGCAGATTTGTTTTATTAGATTACATAATATTGTACAGCTGTAATAATAATATGTTCACCCCTTGTTAAAGAAGTGACGCCATATAATTACCATTAGGGTCGAGATTTTTCAGTAAGTGAAAAAAATTAATTGAGTCAGCCAGCACCCCTCTGACTATGAGATTAAGCTGTTGTATACCTTTCCCACTAATAGTGTGATGCATTCCTAATCATTTTCTTCTTCACATTTTTAAAAATTGTCTATTCATTCATCGGCATCATTGTTTTTTTTCTCCCACAGAAAGACACAAAACCAGTAACAGTTTCAGCCATGTGTTTCAGTTTTAGCTCCTTACCTAAAACCACACTATAACTCACAAATGATCTACACTTTGCTGACCATTTTTGGATGCATGCACTGCTGATTCAGATTTTCAGATTCATTTTTCTTACCAGTTCATGCATCCATTGTTTTCCATAACTTCCTAAATTACCAGACTCCTGGAAATTGCCCAAGCGACGTAATCACTAACTGTGAAAATCAAGTGTGCATTATTCTTTCAGTCATGCATTATCGTTGAGGGGTAATGCAATTTAAGTGCCACTTGATTTGAAGAGTCTGCCCTGCATTAACAAACAATGATAATGTAACACAGAAAAAAACAAAGCAGTCTCGATGCTCACTGTAATGAATTGTTTCTTACTTTGAGAATGCACACGCAGCGAGTTGCAGACCAGTGTGAGCTTCAAAACAAGTCCATCAAAATCAAAACATGTTGCACAACGCTTCTCCAGTACACCAAGTTTTTTTCAGTTTCCTCATGTATTCATTCATGGGATTGATAAATGATCACCATGAATGCCATGTATACAAAACCACATTCTCATCCTTTTCTTTTTTTCTTTTAAAATTGTGTCCTTGGCTCCAATTTTCCTCTCTGAGGAATGAGGAAAATATTGTGCTTTAAAAATGGCTTTCAGGGCCATTTGGAGAGTCACAGCATAAGTCAAGGACCCTGCGGTGCCTCCTCAGAAAAGCACCATGCTAATTACGGATGCTGTGTTCTTGTATTTTATTCTATCTACACGCGCTATCTGGTGCTGTAGTACAGAAGGCAATCATCAATATGGGGAGCTTTCTTATTCTCCTCTAGTTTAACTATATAGTAAGTATATATTCTGTTTTTATGTGCTGGGTTGTTTCTGCAGTGTGTTTATATTTTATCTGAATTTGAAGCTGTTTTATTATTGGTGAGAGCATTTCTTCTAACCAGCTTCCTTTTTATATATATATATATACAGTATATAGAGTATAAAGACTTAATTCACAACATCCCCAAATAAAGAGCCCGTTCACCTTTTTGTAATCTTTTCTAAATAAAGGTACAATGGGCTGATACACATAAGGCAACACACACTACCTAGCCTATTATTTATCTTAGCATGCATGACACTCGCTATGTATGTTACATATAATAATGTTTATCATCCTATTTACAGAGAGTTTGGAGGCAATCAGACTTGTTTTGTACCTTTTTATGCATGTGCTTTATATAAATATATTTCTTCTTACTCTCACTGTAATCATTTTAAAGGAGTTTCTGTTTAATAAACTTTTAAAAACACTTGACAAGTAGTCATTTGTACTCATATGGATTGTCCAAGGTGTCTTTTTTAAATTCTTGGGCAGTGGAATGACTTTAGCTTCTCTCCAGGCTCGGGGACAAGCATTGCTCACAAGGCTCAGATTGAAGTTATGAGAAATAGGAGTAGCAATATGGTCTGCTGCCATCCTCAAGAGCTTTCCATCTAAGTTGTCAATACCAGGTGGCTTCTCATTATCAATATATATATATATATATATATACATATATTAGAATAGAATTATTTCTTCACCGCTTCTATATTCACTTTGAGTTCAAAAGAACAGTTCTTTGATTATTTTATCTCATTACACACTTTGCCAGTAAAATGATTATTAAAGTAGTAGTAGCAATATCTGAAGGTTTAGTTATGAAAGCCCAATCTGATTCAATGAAAGATGGAGTTGAGTTGAGCATGAATGGAATAAACTACAGATTTTTTTTTTTTTTAATGTAGAATATGGTAGATGTAGAGTTAATCAATATATCTGATTGGCTAATTCTTCTCTTAGCATATGTGGTCTTTCACATGATCACATGGGTCTTTTACATTTCACTGTAAGTAAGTCACTTGATAAATGAAAAGTCTAATTATTAGAAGTTTGATAAACTCCCTGCTCTTGAACGCAACATTTTAGGGTGTAGGAATTTCCAGTATGTGTGGATCTCTCTGTAACAATAAAAGTGGTATTTATAAATGGTAATGGTAAATTATCTAAACTACCCTTGAAGAGAAAATTGCAGGTACTTCACATAACATGAGTCAAAATAATTATGATACCATTTAAAAAGAAAAGATATTAAAAGAGCCAATGAAAAGCAAGACAAAAGAGGACGTGACAAAGTCAGAGGAAGTGGTTGCTGTATGGTGACTTCGCGGGAAATACCATACAGTGGTTAAAATGACAGCTCATACGCTAACCATCTGACTAGTCTTCAACAAGGCCTCAACATGTAAGTATCTTCTTTTAGGAGAATATTCCATGTACCTTTATCTTAACTTTAATAATCTGAGATAACCTGACAAGACTTGACTTTTTTATATACAGTCTATGCTTTTAACACATTATTGTTGTTACAATAGTTAAGACAATTTTTTTATATTTGGTTTATATATACATTAGATGTAGACATACGGGTAGATCTAACTCTCACTTTTTATTTTCATTGACCATGTGCCCTCAAGTATATAGTAGACATGAACATATGTAGGTATGTTATATTAATATTTGTGTATCAGTGACAAAATGAACAGTGTCAGTGTCGATCTTCATTTTCTACTGACGTTATATTACTTCTATTTAAACAGACTAGTTTTCCAGAGGATGTGGGTAATTTTATGCTGACTCAGATTTATGTAACCTATTATTGTAATATAGACTAATTTATGTGAACATGGGACTGTGGTACGCTGCCAGGAACCAGCAGTGAACGGGAACTCAATGACTATGGGCTGAGGGTCTTACTGAGGGACTGGGTCATTCATCATTCTGTTTCATTTCATTTTCATGACTTTTCAACCGGAAGCAGCCAGAGGCGATCCTATATCGTCGCTCTCCAGAAACGTCGACATCAGCGGGACTTTCCGTCGCCAGTCGCCGGAATTGCGAAACGGTGAGTGTGGTATACCTTTGGAATTGACTGCGGTGTCTTGTGTTTTGTCCCGTGTGTTTGTCAGTTTCAATGTTCTTTCTCGGTGATGCTGGACATATCAGTGTGGGCAAAGTTTGGCTGTTACTAGCGTTAGCATACGTTAGCGTTAGCAAGCTAAATGTCTGCTGATCTTATCAAAACTGGTTTCCGTGCGGTGTTGCTAGCTGACTGTATAGTTTAATTAATGCTTGACTGCCGAAACCTCGTTTAAATCTATCGAATGACATAGCTAACATTAGCTACAAGGGCAGAATTTGGCCGAAACGTAACCAGAGCTGAGCCAGGAAGAGCCTGCGTGATGAATCCTTTTCGTATTCAGGAAAGTACCTAGCTACCCAGTCGGAAACAATAACAGTACATGCTGTTACGTATAGTCTTTATTTGACTGTCTAATTCAGTACCACCAGTCGTAATTCTGAAAGGATTATCTGAATGATTGATTGGTCGATCAACAAGAAAGTGTTTGGCAGCTTTGTTTAAGGGGCATTCCACCAGTTTTACTATAACAAGTTTAGATTACCAGTCTCTGAAGCCAAAGTTAACATGATGTAATGCCTTATTTTGTGTTTGACCAGAAGTTAAAAAACCCAAATATGTTGATATGAGTATTATTTAAAAAATGGCAAATGGCAATTTTAGAAGCTGGTTTAAGTGATCTTTTGGCATTTTTGCTTAAAAAAGTACTTCGATGATTTTGGTTGCTTTTCTTTCTGGATGGGGATCCCTCTAAACTTGAACTGATCAATAGTTTAGGTCATTGGTAAAGAAAAAAAAAAAGGTAATCAAATCTTTATATGTTTAGCTAGGGGTGGGCGATATGGCAAAAATATCATATCACGATTTTTTAAAAATAAAATCACGATTTCGATTTTATCACGATCTTAAATTGGAAAAAGAAAAACAGACAATTTAGACCAAAGAACCTTTCTTAACAGATTTTATTTCAAATAGTCGCAGTTTTGCCTGCATGTGCAAACAACGTAAAGTTTAAGGTAAACAACAACAACATTCTGGTTCGTCGTGTTACCACCCGACGTGCGAACGGTTTCTGTGCAAACTTTGCAAATTACATTTGCTTGCGCTTGATCAGTTGCGGAAAATCCAAACCAATTCCATATAATGGAGGTGGAAATTTTTTTAGCGACAAACTCCGTTTGGCTTTCAGCCATCGCTCTCCATGTGCTACCGCTACACACACAAACAAGGAGGCGGGTAGGAAAGTGCGTCACTGCCCGTAATTCGCTATGATTGGTCGGTCAGGTTGACGACGTCAATACGTCTGGTGCGTCGGTGCATCAGCATAGAACTGCAATTTATAGAATGTCCTCTAGACGATCCCACGATCTTTGCAGTTTGAAAGATCGTCTTCACGTTGTAATCCTTCACGATCTAATATCGTCATATCGCCCACCCCTATGTTTAGCTTTGGGACTGCTGAGTCAGACAGAATAAGCTATTTTACTCACTTCGGCCCCTGGAAAACTTTTACAGTCTTTTTACACGAACCAGTGATTCATTGAAAATATAATTGGCAGATTTGGATTTGTTTGTGTTTATGAGATTTATGCTTTATCAGAAGTGTTTTAAAATAATTCTCTGTTGAATCCCTCTGTATGCTATTTGACAGCAAAACAAATTCTCTTCTCTTTTTGTTTTAGAACAGTGTTGATGCTATATGACATGAATTTTCAGGGAAATACTCAGATCCTATGATCTTAACTATTATAGGAAAGTGGCCATTAAGGGTTAAGAGATTTTGGTAGATTATAACAATAAATGTATATAAATATAAACATGTATTATTATAATTATGAGTTTCTATGAGTTTTAAACAAATAGAGACAATGACATAAAGATGTTAAAAAAACTCCAGGAAGAATTTCTACATGAACACAAATCAACTGTTGTTTTCTCTTTTGTCTGTTTTTTTTTCTTCATTTCCACAGGTGCTGCTAACACAAAACTAAAGAGGGAAGCCCATTATCCTTACCAAAGGAGGATATAAATTTTCTTATTGGGTTTTTAATATTCGATTATGGAGGCTTAGACACCTACAAAAGCGATGTCCGAAATGGGGGGAGGGGTTTGAGATCACACAACCCATGGTCTGTATGTATGCATGTGTGCGCTTGAGGAATTTATTTAATTTATATTGTTGGTGCACATAATCACATACCTTATGTTTAAGTTTAAATGGTTGGATAATGTATTAAACATGTCTGAGGTAAATAAACCAGATAATAAAGTGTTCACCGATCCTGGGTGATCTGATCACAGTCTGATATAATTACTGCTTTGAGAATTCATTTTAATTACGCTATTAAAAATAGTCCATCCTTTTTTTTTTACTGCACAGGATGTGTTTTGTTGGACATACGTGTACTGGGACTGTAACTGAAAAATAAATATTGTAGTTTCAGTTAAATGTTCAGAGGTGGTACTCTGTACGAGCTACATGTAATACAGATCCAGGTTTGAGGAGGATAAATAACAGATATGTCCAATGCTGTGTGATAATGTTGGTTGCCAGAGTGGTACTTTTTTTTAAGTTTGACACTTAGGCCAGCCTCACATTCTTTTTCAGTTGTCTTGGTCTGAGTTAACCCTCCCACTTCTTCTGCCCCCTTATCTTTTTTACAATTTTCAGTTTCTGTATGACTGAGTGTGTCTGTGTGAGAGGATAAGACCTTGGGTTTTCTCAAACCTCTCTCCCTTTTGAAGGACATCGCTTTTCCCTTATTCACTATAATTAAATCTCAAAATGGAAACTCTTGTTCAACTCAAAAACAGCCCATTTTTGATGGGCTTGTGTCGTAACGGACCTCCACCTGACCTACAGTATGATAACTCCTCGGGTACCTATCTTTTTTATTCTTTCTCTTTATCAGATATATATTTATAATATGTTTGCATTTATTTATCCATCTAACTTTCTAATGTGATGGAAATGTGTCAATATGTTGTCGTTTTAATCTGCAGAGCTCTTCCGGATCTCTACTTTTGCTCGTTTCCCGTGTTCGGGAGTCACAGAGCGAAGTCTGGCGAGGGCAGGTTGGTTCTACACCGGTGTGGGTGACCGCGTTCAGTGTTTCAGGTGCAATGTGACGGCAGAGGGCTGGCAGGCCGGAGACTGTCCAACAGAGAGACACAGACAGCTCTCTCCTACCTGCTCCTTCATCCAGAGCCTCCCGTCTACAGCCAACCTGCTCTCCTCCTCTCACTCTGCCTTTTCTCCACTCCGCATTGCTCCAGCCATGCCAGTAAGATCACAGTTTCTTACAAAACTTTTTTCCCAATAGGTGAAGCAAGACGAAATCATAGAAATATAATGTTGAATGTAAGACTTTTTCTTATTGTTTTTAGATTCAAATTTTGACTTACTTAAAGGGAGGGGGGAGAGATACAGAGAACAAAAAACAAGAAAAAATTAATAAAAAAAAAAAAATGTCATCACATTCGTATAAATGTTTGTTTTGGGGGGGCTGAAAAGTCAGTGAAATTGTTTTGACCATGAATTCAGAGCTTCACAGATGTGTAAAACCCATTGAGTATTGTATTTGCCTTTACTAGTAGCATTTAGCAACATGAGGATATACTTAGTATTTTTCCTCTGTTTTTTTCCTCCAGCTTTCTGGTCCAGGCCCAGCTGCTCCTAACCAAACAGTAAGTCAAGGTGATGAGCCGGTCGGGTACCTAAATATGGGTTTCTCTGCTCCGCCGCCCTCCAGCCCACTGAGCTCTCGTGGTGTTGAGGACATGTCCCACCAGAGACCAACATGCCACAATCCCAGCATGCGCAGAGAGCAGGACCGCCTTGACTCCTTCCACTCCTGGACACTCTCCATCATCACCCCCGCAGAGCTTGCCAAAGCAGGCTTCTACTATTTAGGCCAGGGCGACCGAGTGGCCTGCTTCAGCTGCGGAGGACAGGTGTGTGTCATCACAGGGACACAAGCACAGCTGCTCTCAGGAAGCAAATCGCTGACTAGCTTAGCTGTGTGTTTACATGTATCAGTACACAGAGTACGGTCATATTCAAAATCGCACATTTTAGAGTCACTTTAATGGGATGGATTATCTTCTTTTTGTGGCTCTTCCCTTCTTGTATGTTGTATTACTATATTTTACCACTAATATTACTATTAGTACTAGAATTGGGGCAGCAGGTTGCAGCACATCCACCTTACAAGCACAACCAGCATCATGGGTATGTGTTGGTGTTGGTATGGTGTTAATTTTTTTGAACAGTGGACATGACAAGCGTTTTTGTTTGGATTTGCAGTTGAGTAACTGGGAACCAGGTGATAGAGCCGTATCCGAACATCAGAGACATTATCCAAACTGTCGTTTTGTCCGGGGGGATAGAGCTGACAACGTGTCGCTGGCCGGAATGGCAGGAGCTGCGTCTGGAGCAGTGACGTCCCAACTGTCTGCAGGAGGCCCAGCTCTCAGTAACGTGTCCAACCCCGCCATGCAGCAGAGCGAAGAAAGGCTGCTTACCTTTGTCAACTGGCCGTCTCGTATTCCTGTGCGCCCTGACCAGCTGGCTAAAGCTGGCTTCTACTATGTAGGTGAGGACAATATCAAAGAGAGTGACCTATTCAATGACCTCCATAAGAAAGGTGAATATCGGACTTCATTCATCAGGTGGTCGTAAGCATGAATGAAAATGTAAGCTAAAGTTGCTCCCTTTCTGCCGGATGTGTAAGTTTTTGCTGACATATCTGCGATATCAACTTTATGTGGTCATAAACGTTTATGTTTACAGCTTGTTATACACCCCCCCACCCCACCCCCCTAAGTTGCAAAGAAAACTAAAAACTAAATACATTCTAATAATTTAATAATAATAAACTTAATAATAATAGAACATTTCAGTTAGAGTGCCTTACATTGGAAAAAACAGATAAAACAATTCAGCTCAAATCCTAGAATTTGAATTATAAAAAAAATGTACTCATAATGTGTAGATGAAAGGTTGAAAGGAAGGCATTTCTTCTCTCCGCCTTCTGATACCAGTAAGTGTTTTTCCCCACTGTTATGTTTCGAGAGTGGGGAGTTCCACAGCTGGCAGGTATTTGTCACTATTTGCCCAGTTTCATTTGAGCTGGAAAGTCCTGGTAAAAATCTTTTTAGGGAATCTCAGGTTCTCATGTTAGCACTAAATGAAGTACCAAAATGTGATCATGAAATATTTCAAGCAAAAGAGAAAATGAAAGATGAGAAAAGTATTCAAATTGGTTTCAAACAGTCATCTTTAATAGAATCACAATGATTTTGCGGTTTTCCCCCCCAAAACCATTTGTCACACTGAGAGCTCTTTCTTTGCCCTCAAGGTCGTAATGACGATGTCAAGTGTTTCTGTTGTGATGGCGGTCTGCGATGCTGGGAGTCTGGAGATGATCCTTGGGTGGAACATGCTAAATGGTTTCCTCGGTAAGTGCTGCTGTTTCAATTTTTTATGTTGATTGGTAAATTTGGTGTCTGGAGCACTTTAAACTGTATTCTATGTATATTTTGATTTTCCAAATACATGTAAAAGGGATGGTTTGAATGAATGTTTGTATTCTTGTATCTCGGTTTAATTGCAGGTGTGAATATTTGCTCCAGGAGAAGGGACAAGAGTTTGTTCACCAGATCCAGGCTCGTTTCCCTCGGCTTTTTGAGCAGGTTAGTAGAGAGCAGCATAATATATTTTCTCATTTCAAACTTTTGGTATAGAATGAGTCGTTTTGAAAATGCTTATTTTTTTGTTTTGTCTCCAAAAGCTTTTAACAAATGGAGACGCCAGCTCCAGAGAGTTTGTGGATCCACCTGGTGAGTGTACAATTATATAATATCAACATACTTGAGAAGGTTAAAAAAAAAATCTGCTGAAGAGTACTGTGTTTTAACACCAGATGTCAGATGAAGATTTAGGAAGAGTATAGACAGAACATCACATGGTGCTCATTAATCAGAAATTGCAGCTGTGTATTTGAGCTATTGTCAATTTCTGTTTAGCATCATGAGAGAGGTTGCCCAAACTCGTCTTTGACATTCATCTATAAAACTGTTGGTTGTGTTGGTGCTTAAATGAAGCTTATCGAAGTCAAACGATACAATCGAAGGGCACATAGACTCCAGACTGACGTGAAATGTTTAAAATAAGTTAAGAAGTCGTATCACCCAGCCTGACATGTCTATTCTCTCTTCCTCTCAGTGGTGCACCTCGGTCCAGGAGAGGAGCGATCTGAGGACGCCGTCATGATGAACACCCCTGTGATTAAGTCTGCCTTGGAGATGGGTTTTGAGAGGAGTCTAGTCAAACAAACGGTCCAGAGCAAGATCCTGACCAGTGGCGAGAACTACAGAACAGTTCAGGAGCTGGTTTCAGACCTGCTGAGTGCCGAAGACCAGAAGAGGGAGGAGGAGCGTGAGATGCTGGCAGAGGCAATGGCATCAGGTAAAGCTGACAGCGGAAAATGTAGCACTTCCTCTCCATTTATTGTCCATGAAAATGAACAGCAATGAATTCCAGTGTTAGTCGTACTATCAGCTGTTCTCAGACCAGTCAAGCTTTTGAAAACCACCAACAATAAATTCCTTTAATAACTCATTTACTCCCTTTGTTTCAGATGGTTTCACCTTTGTGAAGAGACACCAAGCAGCTTTGATCCAGCGCCTAAAGAGTGTCGAGCCAGTGTTGGACCATTTAAGAGAGCAAAACGTTTTATGTATGTTAATCCTTTTTTGTGTGTTTTAGTCTGAGATTTAGAAGACACAGAGTTTGATACTCTGGTGTCCAGGATTTTGTTTCATAACAGCTATAGTTGAACTATTTCTAATCAAATCTTAAAATTATAATTAACTGAAGTTGTAAAACTCGTTGCTAGGTAGTGCTTTAGTATCTGAGAGCACCTTTCATGAAGCTAGTTAAATTACCTCACAATTTGTTACTACAATGAGGTTTCTGAGATTAATGTAGCTGGGTCCACTACATAAAGTTGTAGCCCTTCGTCACAGGATAATGTACAAAGTATCCTTGAACCTGCGGCTGCAGTTCATGGTGTATAACTGTATGGTTATTCGAGTCTGAGTAATATACATATAGTAGATTTTATTTCATTTAGTTAAAAAACATACACAAGTTTAGTGGTTTATCATTAGATAATACAGATACATGTTGAAATATATAATCTCGACTCACAAGTGATAATTCAGCAACATGATATTTTTGCAAGCGGCATTTTGTAGAATAACTGGACTTATCATTTTAGCTGTTATTATACAGCTGTAGCATGTAAAGTTCAGAAACCTCGATCGGGATTTAACTCTTCCCTGTTAACCTGCAGCTGCTGAGGAGTATAGCAGTCTTCAGGCTCAGACGTCGGCCCAGCAGCAAACAGCCAGGTTGATAGAGCTCATCCTCACAAAGGGTAACGCTGCCGCTGAGGTCTTCCGCAACTGGATCCAGAAAAACGATGTCCACCTGCTCAGAGATCTCATGGGTATGAAAAATATTTGATATTTCGGCCACTAAGGGTTCAGTGTGTGGATCACCTTGTACAGAAACTGTTAGTGTGATCAAACTGTAGCTTAGTGGTTTACTTAAGTCCAGGCTGAAATCCACCACATTAAGTTGTTCTGAGCTTAGGCTTGGTATAACTATCAATAAAAACATTAGATTAAACATAAGATAGTGATGAGATGCGATGGTTGGTTTATATTTGTTTACACTGTGCATTGACTAAAGTCTGACCTTAGTACATGTTGTCTTTCACATTTTCAGCCCAGTCAAATGAAGCTGCATCACCAAGCCAAGATCTTTCAGGTATGAAGACACACCTGTTCCTAGGACAGAACTTTGTGTTCTGCCAGTTGAATGTGTGCTTCATTGTGGATCACTTTGTAACTTCTATTTTAAAAAGTCATGTGAAATTCCTAAATGTAAATGTTACATTCTGTCAAATGAGTATGGTGGTACTTTCTGCATAAAATACAAGTACCTGTTAATATTTAAGTGATGCACACTGTTTGGACTCCGTGGGTCTTTTGATGTAATACACCATTTTAATTATAAGAAATGTTAAATATGACGTAATGATACTTAGATTGCAGAGACTAAATTGTTGCAGACTATTATGTTGGATTCAAGAGGAAAATTATCTTTTTCTTTGCAGACCTCCCCATGGAGGAGCAGCTGCGGCGCCTGCAGGAGGAGCGCACCTGTAAGGTGTGCATGGATAAAGAAGTCAACATTGTCTTCATCCCATGTGGACACCTGGTGGTGTGCAAAGAGTGCGCACCATCTCTGCGAAAGTGCCCCATCTGCAGAGGTCTGGTTAAAGGCACAGTTCGAACCTTCCTCTCATAACCAGGAGACTGAGCAGAGCTCCCTCAGTCTCATGTGTCACTATGATGTGATTGAATGTAAGCAATATGATACAAATTTATATTTATTGGAAAGGTTTTCTAATATGTGACTTACCTGGCCATGTTAAACCTAAGAGACATTTAAGATATCGGCAACTTTCTATATCATTTATCTACATGATCGGATAATGCTCAGACATAACCTTATATGATAAGAATCCAGTAAGAGTACAAGGTGATGGATTTTTCAAATATGCTTTTTGGTTGATATGTTTGACATAGGTATACTATTAATCTATTAATATCCAAATATGAAAAATCTAATAAAATAATCAAATCATTGTTCAAAACAATGTGTTCCACTGTTCTTGATCTTAACTCATGTAAAACAAAAACATCAATATATTATTGTTCCTAAATTAACATAAGATTGTCTTATAAGGAAAGTTTATAACAGCAGCCCCATAATCAACATCAGTTTAAAGGCTTCAGTCATTCTGATTATCAGACGAATCAATGAGACGGTCATTGTTGAGCATTAAGGGTCGAGACAGGCAGCAACTACATTAAATCATCATTAAAGAAGCAGCTTCATAAACAACAGAAGTTTGATTGTGACCCGAGGTGTTAATTAATTGGTACTGTAGTCCTCAATTAGAAGAGGGATAGTCTCAAAGTTTTGTCGATACAAGTAGACCCAGTGCTGACTGAATTAAATCATCTGTATTTAAAACTGAACTTATAAACTTTACCATATTTACTGCAGGGCTTCTGTCGTTAGTTTTTGACCAGTTCCTTCTCAAAATCTAAGGTGTTTTATTTTTCTGTATGTCAAATTGAACTGACTTTTGTGACTTGCCAAATATCCTACATCCCCCATGTAACTACAGCCGTTGTATTTATGTTACATAAAAATATGGATATATACTGTTCATTAAAAATCACAAGTCTAAGTCCTTTCTCGGGCATCTGATGGAATCATGCACTGCCCCTGAGCTTTCACATCTGAAACTGGCAATTGGCATTGACCACTGTCAGTTATGTGATCTGCAGTTATTAATTCAGCGAATGTTCATACGGGCTATGTCTGCATCTGTAAGTATCATTTTCAGCAAGTCTAATGTGTCTGTTCCCCATTAGCAGTGCTTGTGCTTTATTCTAAGCCAGTCCAGTTCAACCATGGACGTTTTAGGAAGGACATGTTCAACAAGTACATTACCATTACTAAGGCTTTAGCTATATCAGTAACTTCAGTAAAATTACAGCTACAAAACTATGTACACATTATATAGTAGTACTGTAAGATTATAGTCTCTGGACTGGTTACCAGAGCATCAGACTAGTCACTCATGGAATAAACTAACCACAACCAATGCTCCATGTATTCTGCATACAAAGCCAAACTGACCAAAATCAAGCTTACTCGCTTATTTAAAATACACTATCCACAAACACACACCTTTGATGCCTGATACTATTTGTATAAAATCAACTATGTAATTGCATGAAATCAAAATTGAAACTCAGGCAGACAACTCAAAAATACAGACACTGAATCAATTTTTGTTTATACAAATATTTATTCTTCCACTAGTCTCTTCAGCCACAGTTTAGATGATGCCAATCTGTGAAGAGAGAGACATGAATTACACATTGTTCATCAACAGTGTGAACAGAACTGTACCTGTATTATCTGGCATCAGTGGTTCCTTTGAATGCATCACAAACATTCAGATTGAATAAAAGTTTACATCACTTGCACAGAACTGACAACTTCTGAAAGCAAACATTACCATTATGTTGAACTGAACTAGCCTTAAAACCCAACCCTTTTACCCTGTTGAATGACTGACATCTCACCTTGTTTGCAACATCCAACGCATCGTAATCTGGTGCGAGACGAACGTACGCCTTCTTCTCACCGTCAGGCCTGAATATGGGTCAGAACAAAACAGACAGTTGAGATGAAATAATGAAAGGACAGTTGCTATCAAGTTTATATTTATAAAAGGTGAGATCAAGTTGTTGTTCGGAAAGCTACCTAGACCACATTTTGAATCAAATCCAAACTGTCAAAACACCAGATGAAATACCTAGAAAGGTATATTAAGTCACACAATCAACTATTGTGACTGTTCACTTCTGAGTCCAATAAAACAAACTACAAATATAGCTGTGATTATGGTAACCCAATATACCACTGTTCTGGTATGAACTAGGAATAATACATGGAAAGGGTTCTGCACAAAACAATGCCATCAGTCGAGCAATTCAGTTTCCAACAGGACAAAACGAAACTTGCATTCAGCTCTGCCTGGGTTAAGATTTCTACCTGATGAGTGTGTTGACTTTGGCGACGTCGATGTCGTACAGCTTCTTGACTGCGTGTTTGATCTGGTGTTTGTTTGCCTTGACATCCACAATGAACACAAGTGTGTTGTTGTCTTCAATCTTCTTCATAGCGGACTCTGTTGTCAAGGGGAACTTGATGATGGCATAGTGGTCCAACCTACAGAAAAAATTTACATGATTATAATGTATATTCAAAAGCCCTCCATTTTCTGTCTCTACAAAAAAGACAATTTTCTACATGTACTACATGACATGTCTATTACTTAATTTCTCTGCTAAAAACATGAAAAAATTTCAGCTGGGTGCATCAGTTTATAAAGCTGGAATCATGCTTTTTCATACTTTGATCGCTATTACCATCATATGCACCAAGTTTGATCCTTGTCAGTTTGTTAGTAGCATGCAGTTATTGTGACTCACTTGTTCCTGCGAGGAGCACTCTTGCGAGGATACTTGGGCTGCCTGCGGAGACGGAGGGTTTTGGGGCGACGGAAGGTGGGTGAAGTCCTGACTTTCTTCTTCCTCTGGCTGTGTACACCTTTAAGCACAGCCTTTTTGGCCTTCAGAGCCTTTGACTTGGCCTCAGTCTTGGCAGGGACAGCTAAGTCAGAGAAATACCATGTGTTAGACTATTGGTCAGTTGTTACATGCTCTTGCAGTTTGTAATTCAGTAATAAGCCAGAAAACAGAACCATCACCTCTAAAATATCTGACATGACATGTTAATTGTGCCAAAACGAGTCCTTAGATGGCATTAAGAGTTAATCAGTGTCCCCCTCACAGAGGGTCATCAGGAAAAATCTACATTTACATTGAGGAGCTGAGAGATGAAAACAAACTTCACCTCTGCATGATATGACTGCTGAGTGGTGTATTAGTACCACTGAAGCATTTTTCAGGACAACGCAGAGATTTTTTTTTCTTTTTTTAACTCTGACACAGCAATTGACACATATGGTAACAGTCTTAGTTCATATATGTATATATATATATTCAATAACAAAAATACACACTATTACACACACTATAATACATGAATTTCGTATTTACATATGCCATCGCGCACAACCATATCAGCCCTACTCCGGGGCTTTAACATATCAAAAGCCGCATTTTACTCTACCAAACTAGGCACTAAGCAGGGCTTCATGCTACACTCAACTTTCTTTTAGAAAAACTTGAATAGCATTGCATCGCCGAAACCCCCTACAGATTTAATGTTACAGACCCACTGTTGTCAACCACCAAAACAAATATTTTATACCCTCAATTTATTTTCTTTAATAAAATACAGGCTGGGGCTATCACGTGTAACTACTGCAACGTTTCAAACAACGCTAAGGTGCAGCAAGTGCTAACATTACCGCATAACTAATCTATACAACCTATCATAGTACAGCTTAGACGGCTACTAAGACATCTTGAATTTGTCTAGTTAAAGTGAATCAGAAACAGTCTCGGACGAAACAGGAAAAGAACCATTACTCTAAATAAGCAGCATTTAGTTAGCATTATCAACGCTAACATGCTAATATTAGCTTAGCATCACGTTTCGGCATACATGCCGGGGACAGTCTGCGTTATCTACGTATTTTAACATCTGACAACCACATCCTGAGATTATTTTAACTACTGCCGCTTTATCCTTACATTTCGGGTGCGTCTATTGAACCTTAAAGACGGTATTACAGAAAAATTCACAGTTTAGACATTCAAAATGATACGATTGACAGACCTTCCTTCTTCACCTTCGGTGCCATGTTGAGAAAGGAAGACTGAACGGGGTTTCCTGAAGTATAATGCATGGGCGAGATCTCATGGCAAATGTATCGCGATAGTTAAGAAATCGACCGAACTCCCTTGAATGCAGATGACTTATATATATCCAGGGTGCTTTCTGTGGTGAGTTTGCATGTTCTCCCTGTGCCTGCTTGGGTTCTCTCCGGGTACTCCAGCTTCCTTCCGCAATCCATAGACATGCACATTAGGTGTCTAATGCCTTACTATACTATGATATTTTTATGCCTTATATTCTATTACCTTTATAACTTATTATACTATCACCTTTTTATGCCTCACTGTCATATGACTTTTATGTCTTACTATTTTATCCTTTATCCCCCGTTACCTTACCATAAGACATTTGTACACTTTACTAATCTAGGACTTTTTAAACTAAGAATTCTTTGTTCCTTATGGTTTTATGATTTTTTTATGTCATACTATACAATGTTTTTACACCTTATTATAGTATGACATGTTTATAACCTACTAGAGTGTGACTTTTTATGCCTTATTATACTGACATTTTTTTTGCCTTACTATACTATGACTTTTTATCCCATTCTAGACTATGACTTTGTGATGAGGCGACTTGTTGGTACAGTGGTTAGAACTGTTGCCTCAAACTGAGGAGGTTGAGGGATCAAGTCCTGGGCCTTTCTGTGTGGTGTTTTCATGTTCTCCCTCTGCCTGCGTAGGTTTTCTCCGGGTATTCTTGCTTCCTCCCACAATCCAAAGACATGCACATTAGTTTAATTGACAACTCTAATGCCTTACTATACTATGACTTTTTATAGCTTACTATACTGTGACTTTTTATGCCTTTATTATATTATGACTTTTAATGCCTTACTATACAGCTGATTACATGTGTTCCGGCAGTGGCCAAGTGATACAACTTGATTTTGGTTCAGACTGGTGGAAAGTTTGTTTCAAAACATGTGTGTAAAATTGAAATCCAAAACGACCTCCACAGACTTCCATTAAGCCCACATATAAAGCAGAATTGATCCTTTTCCTCCTCCCTTATCAGGTCTACACAACCCCAACAAACAGAAGCCCCACAGTTGTGTTAAGTGCTGAACTCACAAATAAATTTGTGACGTTAAGTAACTGATGGGTATTAAACATCTTAAGAGAACCTGTTTTCCCATTTCTCACCCAATTGTTTTCAATTACAGTTTTATCGATATTATTTCATGCCCTTATCTGCTTCATAGACTTGGGTCTAGCTTGAAGTGTATTTACTGTCAGTGTCTCAAGTTGCAGGTGAACAAAGTTAACAGAAACAAAACAACACAACTATATATAAAACTGTTTATTTTATACTCTGATTATACAAAGCACAAATGTGAAAATTAGCAGTAAATTAGATTTCAAAAAAAAAAAGAAAAAAATCCACATCACATTTTCATAACAGTCTGCTTATGCCACTCTCTATTCCTCTTGAGGCTTATTTTTCTTCACCTTTTTTCCTGGGGAAGAGAGAAAAAAAGAAAATTTGAATTATTTTCTCTCTGGCTATTTATGACCGTCAACACGAACCACATCTAATATCATTTTATCAAAAAATGAACAGGTTCCAGATTTCAGACTTGTTAATTAGAGGGGTCCAACAAATACTCAGGATGAAAAGCCAACTCTTATGGCACAAAACAGATATAGTTAGACAATTATTTTATGTGTACAAGCAACACTTGTCTAGCTCTGGTTAACTGGTTTATTAATCCTGCATGAATGCATGAGTTTTTGGAATTGAAATGCACATGAAGCGCCATCCTTACTTTTTTAACTTGGCTCCAGAGGAATTCGATCCTGTCTTCTGTGACGTCTTCTTGTGTTTGTCTGTTCCCTCTTCTTTTTGTGTTTTATTTCTCTTCTTCAGTCCCTGTTCTTTTGTCTTCTTTTCTCCTTGCTGCTCTCCACCCCCTGCCTGCTTCTGTCCTTGTGCTTTGCCTTTTTTCTTCATTAAGAAGCGAGGAGTTGTGCAAATGGTGCTTCTCTTGGGAGGTTTCTTCTCAAGTCTGCGTTTCGCTTTGCTGGACACAAACAAATAAAGATGGACTATTAGAACCCTATTTCCAAAACTTACAGGGATCAATTAAGCAACAAATAAAAACAAAAAATGACTTTAGATGTTTTGCTCATTGTGAAATTTCATTAATATCTTCTTTACCTATGTATCTTCTTGAAGCCAATCATGTAATCGGGGACGGGACATCCAGTTTGTTTTATCACATTAGCAATGCTGTTAAAAGAGAAACATATTCAGAGTCAAAGTGTAAACTGTAAAACATCTCACAGAAAAACAACAAACTTGAAATCTGTGCAGGCTCCTGCTGCAGGTTGTTGCAAAAACTGATATTTTGATGTCATGTTTAAAGAGGAGAAAAATGAACCAAATGTCTAACCCAGAACACTTTTACTGTAGTGTCATCACTGTGCTGCAGGTAGATTGTTTTCTTTAATGGATTTTTCTGGGCTTTTTGCCTTTGACAGCAGAGACAGACAGAAACACTAACTTCGCTTTCTCTGCCATCAGCCGCCTGGCGTACTCATTTTCCAGGGTCACACTCACAAAAACAAGTCTTCCATTCCTATCTGCTAAGTAAGATCAGTTTGAATTTTTTATAAGTTTCATGCACTGTGTCCACATACCTGCGCAGCAGTGGTTTGTCAGTTTCTGTGAAGAAGGTGATGGCCTTCCCCTGATGTCCAGCTCTGCCAGTACGACCTGAGGAACATCAAACAGGAGAAATGTATTAAAGCAGACAACACAGGATTAGGGCCACTACTAATGATGCTATGTATTATTGATGATTGATTTTTTATTCTTTTTTTGATTATTCAATTATCTGCTTGTAGAACCAAACATCATGTGTTTGTCTTTTTACACAATAAATGATGATTAATCGTTAAAAACATATTTATTAAAAACAAAGTTTACATAATGTTTTGAAAATAAAGCAAAAGCAATTACAAGCGAGAGACTCAGGAGGCAATAGAGCAATATAACAACAGAAAGCAGGAGAGAGAGGAAGGACAGATATGAGGTCACGTTAAAGAGAAAAGACATACAATTACTTCAATAATAAAAACTAAAATTTAATTAGAGAAGAAGGATGTTCTTGCATCTTTAACTTTTTGATAGTTTTTCATTTGTCTTTCCAGATTTCATAAAATACATGTAAACATGTTTTTCCCCCACTTTCTCTCCTTTCTCCCACAGGCTCTCTTTAATTCCTGGGTGGGTTTGTTTAACTAGGGCTGAGGTGTTCTACTGGATTTGGATTTTGTCTTTGTAGGGGGCAACAGGAGTCCAGGAGTCTGACAGGTGTGATTACAGTGGGAGTCCAACTCCTCTGTGTTAAAATATAGACCTAAAGCAGTAACAAGTTACTGAGTTAGAGGTAAAAAATGCGATGGCAGACAAGTGTATTACGATTAAAAAGGTAGCTGGGATGAAACCAATAAATAAATGAATAAAAAACTAACCAATTCGGTGGATGTACTCCACAGCGCTGGTGGGGAAGTCATAGTTCAGCACGAGGTTGACTCCTTTGAAGTCGATTCCTCTGGCGAGCAGAGCCGTGCAGATCAACACCCAAATCTTACCAGAGCGAAAACTGTTCACTACGTTGTCCCTCTGAAATCAGAAGAGTCACAGAGGAGGAGGATAAATACCAAGTCGCACATCAGTGACACAGAGTGGACCAACAATACAGTGTGTTGGGTGTCCGTATGCACCTGCTGCTGTGTGCGGTCTGCGTGGATCACATCTACATTGATGCCTTCATACACCAGCTCATGGAAAAGCTCCCGTGCTCGCTCTATAGACTGAACAAACACCAGCATGGGAGGCAGGAAACCCTGAAATAAAGCAGAGACATCCTTTCATTTCATGTGTTTTTTAATGTCTTACGCATTGACAGTAAGAGTTTGACTGTTTAACTGTTCATTACCATGTCAGGATCTAATGTATAAATGAACCAAGCTTTTGCATTGAGCCAGAAAAAATAAAGTATCAAACTCACGACTGTGGGATGATCTAGTTTACAAAACGATTAAACAAAATAAATTCTTCAAAAGCTTGAAAAGTAACCTCCTTGATGTTTCCGTACTTTTTTAATGATGTCCCTCATGGCCACCAGTTTGCCGTTCTCCGTACCGACAAACAGCAGCTCCTGTTCCACCGTCTCGACGGCTGTATTTCTGAGAGGACGATAAATTCAGTTTTTCCAATGCGAGAAAAAGCCAATACAAATCCATTAAAAATGAAGAGCGTTACAAGTAGATTATTACCTGTGTCCGATGTTGACTGAAACCAGGTTGTCAAGGTTCAGGCGGCACCACTGCTCTACATCCTGCGTGCAGGTGGCGCTGAAGAAAGCCCTGCGCACCTTTGAACCAGAGCAGGCCAGAAACACTGTAGCCAGCTGCTCCCTGAAGCCCGTCTTACCGGCTTCAAACAGCTTATCGGACTCATCGACCACCAGCCACTCCACACTGCACAAGAAAACAATCAGGCGATAAACGGTGGAGATAGAGACAAGAAACAACCTAAAAGTGAGCAAAAAAAAAAAAAAAAAGTAGCAGATCAGATGTTACCTGCTGAGGTCGAGAGCTGGAGGATCCTGCTTGAGGAGGAAGATGAGTCTGTTTGGAGTACTGACGAGTATGTCTGTGCACAGAAACGTAGGATTGTAAATAATGAGGACGGGCGATCACATTTACGTCTTCTGTGAACAATTCTGCCATTTCTTACCATATTTTTTGTTTGACTGCGGTCCGTACTTCTTGGCTGCCAGGGAAGCTTTGTCTATGATGTGAACTCGAAATCCAACTCCCTCTGACAGGCGGAGCAGCTCTCTGTAGGTCTGAGCACAATACAACAAAACTTGATGGAAAGCAAGACAACGTACAATATGTGATCCTCCTGAAACTGCATTCAGTAAGGATTGAAACCTGGATACTCATGCCTCCTTCCTTGACATCAGTAAATATGCTGTATTATTATTATTATTAAGTCAAACTGTAATTGACATCTTTAAGTATTTCAGAACCGATTTCATAAACTTTTCTGAGAAATACGATTGATTTGTAATGTTAGTGATTGTAAAACTTTTTTTGGCCACTTGGGGGCAGTAGACTTCTGCATATTTCTTGCAGTTACAGAGCAATATTTTCATTCATTGGGAGCTTTTGTCCGCCTGATAAGTCCAGTATTCATTCTCTTTAGTCTTCACTGACTCCTGAAGGAGATACCTGGCCTTTTAGCGGCTAAATGCTCCACTATGTTTTGCAGCTGGTCTCTAACTGCTGGCGTTTGGTGCCGAGCGGGTAGTGTACAGCAGGTTTTTAGATCTTTTCCCCTGAAACCAGCTGCCTTCTGCGGTTGAAAACAACACTGTCAGAGCGCCATGAGTGAACCAAAACGGCACAATTAAGGATCGGACAGCTAAACGATGACCTGAGACTCACTACTCACTATAAAGCTTCACACTGTAATATTGGTTTTCACATTTTCATTTCATTTTTAGTGTAAAATATTGTTATAGTCGCTATAAAATCTCAATATTAAAGCTGCACTAATCAATATCTTTAAATAAAGAATTTGTCAATAGTGTATTGTGAAAGCTTGTAGCAATGAACCCACAGAGAATTATCACCTGACTCTGCAGCTCCCCTCAGCTCTACAAAGCATTTTAGCTGTCATCTTATTGTTTTGCTTTTCTGGTCTGCCACTTTATCATTTTAGTTCACTCTCAGAGCTATTATCCACCTCATTTCCAGCTGCAGAAAACAGCAGTTTTTAGCCAAAAAAAAAAAAAAACCCTCTGATAAACCCTTTGTAAGCTACAGACACACTCACCGTCTAGCTGGTGACCATAGTGAACATATTTCCCTCAGGAGTTGAAGACCAAAACAGAGCCAAAGGAAACAGACTATTATTATACTTTATCTTTATTAGGAGGCCAGATAGAAGTGATGCCAAGTGTCTGCTAATGTTGCTCTGAATCTGCCACACATGTAAATAAGCAACTGTTGGCCAAAACGTTACGAGATGATAGTATATCAGTGTTGTGTTTACAGCTTGTTTTTTTTGCTCGCCCCAAGTGACTGGGAAATCAATGAATACAGCTTTAAAAGCACCTAACAATACAGCGTGTGTGTGTGTGTGTGTGTGTGTGTGTGTGTGTGTGTACCTGGCTGGCCAGTTCTCTGGTTGGGGAGATAACCACAGCTCTGAAGCCCCGGTTGGCCGGCTGTTGCAGGTGGGCGAGCAGCGGGAGACAGAAAGCCAACGTCTTTCCAGATCCTGTGGGGGCACACGCCAGGAGCTCCCGACCCTGACAGAGAAACCAGTCACACAGAAATCCTCACAAACCCACCGTCTGTATACTGTTTACAAACCACTGAGCGCGTGCGCCTGTACTCACATGCATCATGAGCGGTATTGCCTGCATCTGTATCGGCGTCGGGGAGTTCAGCCCTGCGTCTTTGAGGTTCTGAAGGACACGCGGGTTGAGACGATACTCGGACTGCAGCTCTTCAAATGTGCACACAGGGTCGGGTACGTCGCAGCCGTGCACATTTATACGGTGTTGAGAGCGAATACGATTCACCTAAAATCAATCAAGGGACCTTAATAAACATTTCAGTGGTAGACATCATTTTTACATTTGTCTAAATCCCTTTATTAAAAGAGTTTTGTATGTGCTGTGAGTTGTGTCTCTGTGGGGACCTTTTCCTGATGAAGATGCTTCAGCCTCTTCAGAGAGTTTTTGTCCTTCCCGTCACTTGGCAGGTTTTGGATCTTTCTGTCCAATGAAGAGGTCCAGCTGATGCCATTTCCCTCTGTGCCGCCAGCTTCAGGCAGACAGAGCACAGCAAACATCAGTGAATCTCTGAAATAGATTGCTACATCGCATTTATTTTAAATAGCATCTCATACCATTGTTGTGATATTAAGTTTCCATAGTAAACACGTTACAGAGAAAGTGGCCAATTTTCTAAGTCTGTCTAACACTTACATTGTGGTTTAAAATGACAGATTACACGAGGGCTGCAAGTACTTATAATTTTCATTGCCAATAAACCAACCTATTTTCGATTAATGAGTTTACTGCTAAGTCTATATAACATTTTTTAAGTAAAAAAATACCTATCACAAGCTACCTGAGCCTAAAGGAAAATTTTCATATGCAATAACATTCAATTAATCATATCAATTAAACTAGACTTTTGATGACACAAGTAAAAGAAAGTTCACGTCTTAATATAATTTGTATTTTTTAACTGTTTTTGTACATGTATCACATAGTTCACGGATACAAAAAAAACATCTGGAACCTGCAAAACATCCGGTCAACAGCAAACATCATTTACCTTCCACCTCCACCTGGTTTCTTTTTGTCTTTTTCTTTTGCTTCTTCGTCCTCACTTCTCTTTCTTCATCCTTTCGCTTCCTTTTACCTCCTGCACTGGAATCTCCACTCTCACTTCCCTCCTCATATTCCTCTCCTCCATCCTCCACGTCCTCCTCCAGTCCCGTGGTCCTGCTCTGGGCTCCATTGGCCGGTCCTGTGCCAAAGTAATCGATCGCAGATAGAGGATCTGAGGACGCTTCCCCTCCGTGAGATCTGACAACCTACAAAATGAGGCAGGGGTAAACTGTATGTGTAAATACAAAATTGTGTTCCACCACTTATCTAATGAATTGTGATATTAAGGCGCCAAATCTAGCCACAATTTCCAAAATATTCGAAAAACAAACATTGCAGCACATTTTCATGCTAGTACAAATCGAGGTTGACCAAAATAGATTAAACCATGGTTCGAGCTGCTGTTGTTAAACACTATTTTCATCCAGTATATCATCTACTACATGTTTACTTTACCTTAAACCGAGCTGCGTCTTGACCAAACCTCTTCAGGTCAAATTTTGCTCCAGCTCCGAGTTTCCGAAACAACTCGAAAGCGTCCATTCCTTCAGCAGCGTGGTCTGCACTGATCCAGGCATCACTAATCAAACCGGGATCATCCACCGCTGACCTCTGGTGCCACCTACCGGCTGCGACTAACACTATCAGACATTAAAAGAGCACAGAAAGTACAGAACTGTATGCACACTACAAAGACACGAAACAAACATACAGACAACTACAAAGAGGCACAAAATGAATGTAGATGGGTGGGGGTCCCTTTCCTATGCTCCATGTTGATTCATAATCCATCCATGCATACCAACATATTATTTTGCCACAGAATCAGACCAGGCACATGATTCAAGTGTAAATGCGACTTTTTTTTTTTTACTTATTAATATAATTATATGTGTGTGTGTGTGTGTGTGTGTGTGTGTGTGTGTGTGTACATGATTGTGAATACGTTTTGATTTTATCATCAGTCTCAGTTATTTCATTGTTGGAACATTACTGTAAATGAACTGTGAACAAGTTATTCACCTCAGATTTTGTTTCTAAAAATTGGTTGGATGTTAAGGGCTCAGTCTCTGTTGGCTACGAGTGTTTTCATTTTTTTTCAGATTTCAGATGGATATATTGTACTTTTTACTCCGTTCTGACTCCTATTATTCATGTTCATTACCTATAATGGCCCGGTGATAGTCCAAACATGAACATCATTACTCCTAAAATATCAAAGTGATACTTAAAGATCAACACACTAATAAGCCATATTGCTGTTTCCTTTCTTCTTTTTTGAATTGAAAGGGAATATTTTTCTGTCAGCAACAATACAATATGTATTTTCTATTTATATGAGACCTCATTTTGTCTCAGAGGAGGGACATTTTTCAGGTTAGACAGTGACCTGTATGTGTTCAAGTTGTTACTTTTACACTTTAATACTCAGTGTTTTAATTCTCAGGTCAAATACAGGATGATGTAAAACAGAGCCAACAAAGGATTTCTCTTAAATTACCACCTACTGTATGTAAACTCTTAATGTTGAGTAACTCTGAAGCCAGACTGTGGGAAATCATTGCATTTATTGTTTTGAACATCAGATTTGCTGCACAGATGTCCAGTCCGTCTGTCAGGTCAGTGTCATTGTTACTGTGTTCAAATACTGTAGACAATGTATTATACTTTATAACCTGAAGTATGGCTGGGCAATATTAAATCAATATAATGGCATTAAGAATATTTATCCAATATTAATATGGCAAATTAATGTAAAATCACAAATAAAACAAACTGATGTTCAGTGCAACCAACCATGTTCCACTGTCATACATTACACATCAGACAAAACTCACATGTAAAACAACTTCAATTCATCATTTTGCTCACATTAATTAATCTGGAAAACTAAATTTTGTTAAACAACAGCACAATATGTTCATATTACTGCAATGTTTCCACTGAAAGTCAAAACAATAAATTATCACCCATCTTTAATCTCAATCTTTGTCTATTCATTTGATCTTGAAATGTAATTTCACTACTACATATATCAGATGTTAATCCATAAAAGAGTGCAAGTGCAATTGGGTAAATAAAAGGAGGAGCCACTGCCGACTTAAGAAAAAAAATACATGACGTAGTGTGCATGTGAATGTGATGATCACCTTATGACAAAGCTGGTTACATAATCTTTGCTTTCAGTCAGCACTTGAGTGAGTTTGTGGTTGGACATTTTTCCGTCCACAGGTCAGCCTGCTTTGATCTGTCCCGACATGAGAGCCAGACCCAGCGCTGCAGCTGGAGACTCTTTACAGCTCTTCACACGTCTTCAGCAAATCCTCCAGAAAACTGACCACTACCTCCTTACCTCTCTCCTCCTCTCCCCCTCCTTCCCCTTCAGCCTTCAACTCTTTCAGTCTGATCAGAGTCTGCTGCAGACGCCCGATTCTCTGCTGCGGGTTGAAACCATCCCCTCCTGTGTCCTTCTCTCCCTCTGCCCCCTCTCCTCCTCCTTCCTCAGCTCTGAGATATCTGATCAAATGCCCTTTGATGCCCCTACCCTCCTCGCCAGCCAGCGATGCCCCGAGGGCAGGCATGTCCTGAGGCTGGCTGACGCTGAGCAGGTGCAGGAGAGCTTGTGAGAGTGTGTGTCGCAGGCTGGCACTGTAACGGTACTCCAAGAAGTCGTTTGTGTCTTCGCTGTTCTCGAGCGCTGTGGCCAGTGAATGCCACACGCAGCTGAACCGCTTTGTGTCCCCGTAGCAGCTGCGGCGGGCAGGAACTGCCAGGGCAGCGGCCGATTTGATCCTCACCTTGAAATTCTTACAGGAAGTAACAACGTGGCAGAGGGCGGAGAATGCGTCGCAAGACCACAGAGCCGAGTCTGAGGGGAAGTAAAATACAGATATTAAGTTAATTACGTGAATTTAGACATGTGAAAAACATTAAAATATAAACTGAAATTCATATCAATCACTGTTGGATACATTTAACAACCCATCAACAAACAAACCCTGTGATACTGAAGAAGATTCTGTTGCCCAGTTTCTAGTCTTTGTAGTAAGCTAAGCTAACTGCCTGCTGGCTCTGGCTTCATATTTAGTATACAGACATGACTGTGGTGTCAATCGTCTCACCAAAGTCTCAGCAAGAAGGTAAATAATAAGTGTATTTCCCAAAAATGTTGAAGTATTCCTTCAAAGCTGTATCATGCTTTTCTTGGCTGTATGTAAGCGAACAAGGTATTTTATACTTGTACAGAGCATGAATGCCTTTTTTCTTTTGTCCTTCACATCCCGCTACCAACAGGAAGTTGGACCAACCTATCAGCTTGTGTTGAGAGCACACCGACTCCTCTTTGAACCTACTGTTACCGACTGTTACTGTTGTCCTCTCTGCATAGATGAGCAGAGACGTGCGTGTCCTAAAATTCTGGTGTAAATTTTATAGATTTTTTTTCTTTATTCAGACAACCTGTAACATGTCAATCAGCTCGTGTTCTACAGTCATGGTCATGCATCTCTCTGATGTAGAAATTTACATCAGAGTGAGTGTGTCACATTAATTACAGGTTTAAAACATTAGCTGAAACAAACAGCATCATCAGATCTTCGATTACTACCTGAGTCTTTATGCTAAGATAAGGTATTCATGCTGAGAGCAAACACAGGTGAATTCCTGGGGGATGAAGACTCACCGAGTGGCAGGGCGGGGTTTCTGAAAGCGTTTCCCAAGGCGTAACAGGCGTTCCATCTGACCTTCATCGTGGCCTCTGATTGGACAGTTTTTACGAGCGCACGGACCGCGTCCTCCAGTGGTCGTTGGAAAGCAGACCTGGTCAGTTGACTCTGACGCAGGAAATGAAGCAGATTCCCGAGTGCTCGCACTGCGTTGCACTTCACCTGGGAGGTTCAAAGAGAGGACGCACGTTCAGAGTGATGAGAGCCAATCAAAACAATACTGGGAAATGATGTCATCACAGGGCAGATATTTGATTCTTCATTAGTACTCTGGGGGTTTTTTTCACGGCATTGGCTTAATTAACATGCTTCTACAGGGGACATGCTTTCCTTCATTAATGTTACATAACTTCATAGCAGAAAAAAATAAATGGCAAGAGTTAACGATCTGCTTTCTCTTGTGTGTGAAAGTGTGAATATTCTCACCCTGTCTTTGTCAGCTGATGCTCGAGTAGCTGCCTGCAACATCTTGAGCAGCAACATGTCTGACAGCTCTTCTTGGAAGTCCACACCTACACTCTCCCTGACATAGAGACAGCAGATAAACAAATTAAACACCTCTAATGATAACAGATTATACAGTATACCTTGAATACGATATCACACTGCTTTTTATCTAAATCAGTTGATCTCAAAACATATTCTTTGTTAACGACATGATGAAAGAAAGTAAAGTTTTATTTTGAAAGATAAGTGAGGGATCCATGCTTTAAATGGATTCACCATTAGATTATGTTAGTATATCATTATAAAGGAGATTACAGTATGATTTCTAAAGCTTCATCTCAGCACTCTGTATGCTTTCTTACATATTGACAATAAGTGTGTCTGTGAGATTCCCTAACGACCAGGCAGCCTTGGCACGGACGTTTGGAGATCGATCATCAAGGGCGGCGAGGATCGTGTTTGCTGTATCTGCCACGAACATCACATCCTGAAAAAGATACCACAACCTCAGAGCAGATCCTTGTACGTCTGAAACATGTCCGCTGTTCTGTAGTTTTTCCAGACGTAAATCTCTTGACAGAATTTTAAAGATTTTACCTGATGCTCAGTATGCTCATGGTTGCCTCCTTACCTCTCTCAGACAGGGGAACAGTATGTAGACTCCCAGAGCCCTGACAGCCGCAGTCTTCACCAAATAGTTTTCACTGTAGGTCAGCCCCAGCAGCACGGTGATGCACATCAGCTGGGTCTTGTCCTGAAAACAATGTCACACATCACACATGACAGATTCCAGTGTGGGAACAGACAGAGCTCAATCGTAGTGAAACTCACAGGCAGCTGTGCGAAGGCCTGCGGCAGGATGGAGGAGAGCGTGTCGCAGGCGCTCGTCTGCAGCATGGGATGTTGTTCATTCTGCAGCGCTCCGTTCAGCGGACCGCTCAACACTTCTGACCAAAACTGGACTACCTATATCATGTACAGATATGTATGAAATGAAAGCAACTTAAAATTTGAATTTTCACACACCTGAAACATATTTTTTTAATATTTTACCAAAACTGAGGCCAGTGCCAATGATTATTTCTAGTGTATTCTAAATCTTTTTTTAGTTTTGACATATTTGGATACATAACATAAGCTCATCTGGGCAGTTTAAAAAATGGACACGAAAAACAACCAATGAGCCTCCAGTGGGAAACAATAAAAGTATAGTCTTGGGTCTGGCTCACGGTGTCTTTCATCAATACATCACCTGAATGAAAGAGGAAGAATCTAACACAATAAAAAGGAAACAAACAGCAGTAGGAAATAAGTGTCTCTTTACTAATTAAAACAGGTTTAGCCTGATAATCGTATAAAGACAGTGTGTACGTACTTG